AAATATCTTGTAGGACTAGAATCTAGATTTAGTCTACTCTCAAAGATACACTCATAAAAAACAACCGTGCAGATAAACTAGAGAAAGGCCAAGGTGGTGTCATAAGTTGACTCTTTTGTTTTCGGCGTACAAAAGTATTAACGACTGCTTTAATATTCGAGAAATATTTGTTTTTATACGCTCTCGGGAAGGTTATAATTGGGCTATTGCCATCGGCACGCCTCGGGAAATAGCACAATTCTAACCTTCCCTTGAGCGTATAAAAACGACTATTTCTCTCAAAGCAGTCATTAATACTATATTATGTTTGACACAATCATTGATATTTTAGTTTGTCTTTAAGTATATCCATTTTATCATGCATCTGTGGATTAGTTAATCTTTTAATGATATTATCTTATTATATTTTATTATCTCCCACTTCACTATTAAACGTCGTTTGGCAAGATATTAAGCTGGCTGTGCAACATTATTTCGACCGGGTGTAGTAACTGCATGGGTATTGGGCTTGCATGTTGTGCACTGATAGCCGTTGACAAAACAAAAGACAGATAGAAACGTGAAATCATGATTATGCTCTAAATAGGAATATCTTCATTATATCCTCTCATTATTACTATCATCGTTACCATCATTTTCATTATCATCATCGTCATTATTACTGTGGTTGCTTTTTTATAATTGATTACTGCTACTAATGATTCATTTTTTTTGCATTTCATTTAATCCTCGCTTGGCTACTGCCTCCCCTTTCCCCTACTCCATCCACCTCTCTTTCTCTATTTATGTATCTCTCTCTCTCTCTCTCTCTCACTTTCTTTCATTCTCTTCTGTCTCATACTCTCTCTCTCTCTCTCTCTCTCTCTATATATATATATATATTGCCTTTTCATACCCGGCCTTAACAAAAAATCAACACCGTCCTGTTTTGTACCTTGTAAGATTACTATCTCAAAAAGAACTTGTGTATGCATCCAAACTTAATAGTAGGAGCGGTTCTAGAAGAATATATAATTTGGGCGCTTTGGGGGAGGGAGGAACTTGTATTCATTTAATACATGTCTCGCGAAATTTGGGAGGCTTGAAGAATTTGGGGGTACTTGAGCCCACCCCACCCCACCCCCCCCCCCCCCCCCACCCTAAAAAAAAAAACCTCCCACAGCCACCGGTTCTTATACATATCATTATATTGAATTTTTGACACTAGAAATGAAGAAGCGAACACAGACCAAGGTGGGAGAGATGAGGATCAAAGCTCACCCCAAGGAAGAGGCGAAACAAGACGGACAGGGAGGCACCATGACATGAGTAAGCACTTGGCTGCCATATTTTTTTTATAAATTCTAAATTAATTCAACTTAAACTTTGGGGGGGGGGGGTTGGAATCAGTAAAGCATGTTTTTAATCATCATTCTGCATGTTTTAGAATTCAAAATTGGGTCCTACTGAACTTTTCATAATATAGACATTTGAAACGATAGAGTATTCTTATCCGGTTGTGTAGACTATTCTGACATTAAACACAATCTATGATGAATATATATTCAGGGCGCCCCAAAAGAAAAAAAATGAGATTTTGATTGGCAACCTCTTAAAAATTAATTCATCATCGTCAAAAAGGAATTAGGAAATATTATGATCACAGCACCTACGAAATTTCTATTGAGTACTATTAAGTACTTTTTAACATTTTTCAAATCACAATGTAGTTTCTTTTTTCTTTTTTTTAACACGGGATTGTGCAGATGAGCTTTCCTAGCTTTGAATCAGCAAAAGTAATGTAACTTTTCTGATATTCGTGTGTCAATCTCTCCTAAATTATAACTCTTTTTACCTTTGTGTAACTTTATCATTTAAAGTAGAGGTGTCGTGGTTGAGTGGATATGTCACCGGACTGTGGATCACAAAGTCCGCGGTTCAAGTCCCGCCACGGCACTAAAGTCCTTTGGCAAGACATTGGTCTACATTTGCCACTCTCCACCCAGGTGTTAAATGGGTACCCGGTAGGATGCGAAAGCTAATGTGGTTAGATGACAAGTGTGCGCTTGTAAACAAATGACGCCTGGCTGGAATGCTCCCCAGGGAGTGGAGAATTTGCATACATTGTGTGCGAGTAAGCCTGAATCTGATGACCGGGGTAATAATATATATCTGTAAGGCGCTTTGAGAGAGCCTGCGGTCCTGAAAAGTACATACAATGAATTATATCACCATGGTTACAGTACTTGTTAACAAACAGAGGAATCACCGTGGTTTTAACTTGAATGTTCTCTTTGTTTCTTTCTTTCTTACGCTCTCTATCTTTCAGATGAAGACACCATCCGGCTAGATTGAGTCTTGAATGTTCACCTCCACCAATTTAATACGAAGAATTCTATGCTCGGAAATAGAATAGAATAGAATGGACCTTACTTAAATGCATTTATCTTCATTTACCCTTGTACATTGCCTTCATCATTCCTCTTTTTAAACACTTAATAAAATCTACACAGCTTCATACTTTATTGATGATTATAAATGATAACTTAACCAACTTATATTAAGACGTACTTAGATTTTAAGAATGGCTTACCATTAGGCTTTTCAATAAGCCCCTCATTTTCACATGTCTCATAGAAATAGTCTTACCTTCAATAATGTTCAAACTGTCAAATTTGTTTAATTGCCAATAATGTAACTAAACCATTGTTTATAAATAATATTGTATCAAGATGTAATATTCTCCATTTGTCACATTGTTTTCTGTATACATTCGAGCATGTGAAATGAATATAATTATTCAAATTCAATTCAAATTTAAAATTCAGACCTATATAAACTATGCATTATCATTATCTGTCTTTCATTTTGCATCAGTGGAATATGTAGTTAATTTGGAAAACAGCTTGTGCAATATAAAACGTTTGTCTTGCCAAACCACTGAAAGCCTCAAAATTATTGTGCTATCCCTTGTGTACAATGTTTATGTTATATGAAATTCATATTTAAGCTATTTATTTTGTCCTGTGATTAGATTAAATGCCAACGGTTATTTTCATTGGTCATATGATGAACAGACCACGGACCGTTCTTTAATAGGAGCTGGCCTCCTCCAATATGTATGAATATTAATGTACATGTCTATATATATATATATATATATATATATATATATATATATATATATATATATATATATATATATGTTGTGCAGTAATATGAATGAATAAAGATGTAAATATATTCATGCAACCGAGTAAATATATGCATTTAGATGCCAATTCGAGCCATCATTGTATCTTTCGTTGGAGCCCTGATAAAGATCATTTCTTTCAGAGTCCAATATCGATTACCACATGTGTTTGGTACAAGGGATTTTCTTTCTCTAAGTATATGTAATTAACATCGGCGTTCATTTCCCTTATTCTAATGATATTTTGTGTCACTGTTTGTACTACTCTTTATCTTCATTTTCATCAGTATATTTTATTCTTTCTGGGGAGCTGACCCGATCATTATGTTACGGTTAAAAGACCTTATAGGTTTACTAGCTGTAATTAAATGGATTTTGATTATTTCACCTAATCTTATCGGTGGGGAATTATCAATAAATCTTGTACATGGAGATTGTTTGTTTTAAGAACTCTTTGTTCACTCGGTTTGTATTTCATTTAATGCATGAACATATTGATTATTCAGTTTTATAGTGAAGTGTACATCAAAGAGTCGTCCATCCACCTACAGTGTACATGTATGATCACAATTGCAAAGACTTCCGTTATTTATTATCATCAGTTATTTTGCTATACAAATAAAAGCGATTCAGAGGAAATTCTATTCTCTGCATTAAATCTAGGGTAAAGCAATTGCAATGGAAAATTATTTTGTTGTTGTTATTTGGACAAGCTGGGCAGTATATAGGCAACATTTTACTGAATGCAAAATCACATATCAAAGAAATAAATAAATACAGATAATGGCATATAAGGTTTTATGATGTCAGGTTAAAGACGGGGGGAGGAGAGAGAGAGAGGGGGGGGAGAGAGAAAGAGGGGGGGGGAGAGAGAGAGAAAGAAAGAGAGAGAGAGAGAGGGGGGGGGGTAGGGAGTGATTGGGGAGAAGGGGGCCCTACTGGCCCTTCATAATTATGGTGGCTTCAGTGGCCTTTCGCGGACCAAGCTGTTGGGAGGGCACTGACACATGGGGATGATCTCTCTCTCTCTCTCTCTTTCTCTCTCTCTCTCTCTCTCTCACTCTCACTCTCTCTCTCTTGTCTTTCTTTTCAACAACCCTCTTCTAATTTTACATCTTACAGCATCGATACAGCATCGAAGTAATGCTTGATAAACAAATTACCAAAAAGGAAACTCGATCAAAACGATCTTATTAGTTTTTGTTAAATATTTTATTTTTATCATTTTTATTTGATTTCACATAAAGTCATAATTCATTGTCTTTCTTTAGCACATTGCACATTAATTCATTCTTTTCAATGTTGCCAGCCCCAGCCAACTTTACTTTCTCCATTTCGATTATGTTCGGAAACAAAATGATGAGGAAATCTAATCGATTTCGTCATGGTTGCCATTTTGTATTCAGAACCGTCTGTATCACGTGATTCGCCAGCTCCCTTCCCGCCTTACATCCTCACTCTAAGATAACCTGCTTTCATCATCACAAACCAACACAATCCTACAAATACTCCAAAAGTTTGTAGTTTTCAAGACAGAGAAGGATTTAAAATTCTCTTTAGTCGGGAAAAACTTTAGGAGTGTTTCTGGGTGTCAGTAAGGACATGAAAGTCAGGTTGCTTGAGCTACGAGTGCTCGTAGTACTAAAGGAGCTGTAAAATCACTTAACCATTATTGTGATAAGACTCTCTATCCCTGTCTGTCTCTCTCCCTATTCTCCCTCTTCCTCTCTCTGACTAGCATCATCAAACAACATTCCATCTTCACTCAAAATGTGTGTGTTAAAGGTGCTCAAATACATTAATAAAAACAACACATTCATGCCATACCTTAATAGGTATTTACTACTCATAGATTTATTTAAGTATAAAAGACATCATTATGTAGGAAGAAAACTGAAAACTAGTACAAGAATCTAACCTAGTTTTGAAAGCAAGATAAATACTGAACGCTACGGTCACACTTTCATATATAATATTTTCTCAGGACTTAATTTTGAGACGGAATATTCAACTATTGAAGTATTAACATTATTTCAAGGAGCTAATTTGTCAACCAAAAAGTTCAATATACACTGTACTAGGTTTACTATATGTTCAACTACTGTCATTCCATTTTAAAACAGGAAAATATTACAGAAAAGAGCTTTCTATAATAGCATCATTAAACATGTTAAAGCAAAGATACTCGGATATATAACGTCTGTTACACAACATTTTACGCTATTACTACGGAATGTATAATCCAAATAGTTAACAACATGGATCTAGATTTAGAGTATGATTATACATTTTTTAGTGCCTAAACTAGATTCATTGAACTTCCAACATCACAGACTTATCACATTTTTAAGAGTGACTAAACAAGCTTTGTCCATCTTGTGTCATATCTGTCACAGACAGGTAGATTGAAATTTCTCCTCAACCATAAGATGGACTACTGTGGAAATTAACGATGTATGTGAATCACTGGCTGAACTATGATTAGGCACTGTTAATTTCCTTTAAAATGTCTTAAAGTAAATACATATATATATATATATATTTCGAGTAGTGCCCAAAGAGAAAGAACTAAAGAAACCTTAAGTAAGATCCTTCCTTTGCCAACATCAAAAAAAAAAAAAAAAATTCTTTCCATTTGGCATCACTAACCTTTTTCATTTCCTGTTACAAATTGCACATTTGGCGCAAACAAAAACAACAACTACACACCCACACTATAAAGCACTATCAACTTATTTTGTTGCCATTTTTCAGGCACCCAAATATTCTACATGTACAAGTATATAAAATGGAAAACAACGAATACTAGCAGCAAAAAAGGCAAGTAAGGTTTAAAGCTAATGTTGAATTTCTGCAAAACTAAGAAGAAAATCTGTGATTTTGAAGAGAATTGCTTGGTTTTTTAAATTATATACTTTAATATCTTATTTCACCACCATTTTGGTGATAAACGTGTAAAACCAATACACTTTATTAATTAGTACCATACATCGAACTTAGGAATGAGCTGACATGCCCCAAACATTCACAAAATTAAAGTCACAATTTAGTTCTCCTCTACAATGTATAGGAAAGACGAGATATCTTACGCTAAGTAAGCCAATAATTCTCATTTTCTGAATATTGAAGTGTACCGTTCACCATAAAATATTGTTAGAGGTTTCATGTGACTACATCTTGTTTACAGCTTACATCTAAATCTAGAATGATTTTCTAATTAGGAATATTCAAATCAGGTGTTAAAGTTGGTTTTCATGGCAATGCACAAGAAAAAGATCTCAACTTGCTATCAAGTTTTGAAACAAAATCTCTCTAAGCCAATCAGGTGCAATGATTTCAGTAATTTCATTAGCTACAATGTACCATCAATCACTGTGAGTTCTTTTTTGATAATAACTGTCCTAGAGCAGGGCCTAGAACTTCCCTCTTGTACACTGTCAAAGACTCCTACGTTTACAGGAACATTGGGCACCAAGGCTTTAAACCTCCAGGTTATCATTTCATGTTTAATTTGAGTGATCTGACATTTGCTGCGGCGACAACTGCTCAACTCCATCAGAAACACAGGCTTAAGGTTAGGGTTATATGTTAGGTGTAGGGTTATATGTTAGGTGTAGGGTTAAGGTTAGGGTTATAATCAAGTTATATGTTATGTTTAGGGTTGGGGTTAGGTATATTGGTGGGGACATGGTCAGAATTTGGGATTTTGGTTAATATCGTAATTCATTCAATTTTTATTTTTGTCTTCTTTACCAAGGTAGCCACCCTGGAATGAATATTGCTCTTTCTGAGGGCCCTGTGATTTTTATTACCCCAGCAATGCCATGTACCGAGTTAACCTGATGACTACATAATTCAATCATAGCCATACGTTTAATACAGGGGTCACCAGGTTCCAGTAGGCAATAGGTTATTACGCCTGAAAATAAGGGAAGGATCTGGGCTAAATACCTTCTCCAATAATATAAGCATTATGAAAGCATTGAACCCAGGACCTTCTGTACATGTACGTGAGTCAAGAACCTTAACCAATACACCACTGTGCTCCCACTGGAATCAACCGTGGAGCACCTTTCGCCAAAGCAAGTGTCGTACAACCCTATATCTTCCTGTCTTCCGCTGCAGATTTGGCCTTCTCCATCACCAGTAGCAGGTGATCACAGAACTCCCGGACTGCTCCCTTACCTCCCTTGCTCTTGGCCACAAACTTGGCCGTGGTGGTGATCTCGTTCTGGGCGTCGACGGGCGCTCCTCCGATCCCGACCGTCTTCATGCAATCAAGGTCCGGAGTATCTTGACCTGGTAATAGAACAACGGTTGTTTATTTGTTTTTTGTTTTTTTGTAAAAAGGTCTTTTGAAATGTCAGCCAGCACTTTGAGATGGTATATCAGGGTTCCCATGGAAATTTGAGCATGACTTTCCATGACATTCCATGACCCATTTTTTACCCTTCTAAATGGCCAGATGAGTTCCATTTTGGAAGTGGATGCAGCATCCAAGCAGCATACGAATACAAAGCAGTGCTCTATATATCATAACATGTTTGTGATAGCCTCTGCCTCCCCTTGAAATTTCTATGACTTTCCCTGACTTTGGGAGATTCTTTTTTTTCTTCTTCATTTTTCATAGCTTTCCAGGTTTTTCCATGAACTTTGGAACCCTCAACAACATAGAGATATATTTTCATTGACAGTGCTTTGCAGGTTTTGTTGCTTTGTTGTTGTTTATTCATCTTTATTCAAGAAAGTATACATATAACATAATAATAAAGATGTGACATAAAACCCAGGACAGAGATTTGTATTACATTAGATGCATCTCATGCAGGGTTAAACAATTACAATACACAATAACAAAACAGAAAAGAGAACATCATAACGTCAGTGTTTTAAATGAAAACATTAATAATTCCTAAAAAAATAACAAAAACAAAAATAATTATATGTTATTAGTTAGCAATGCCTCATAATACATTAATACATCTCTTCTTAATGAGTAATCAACCACGGGAACCTATCTCCATAGAAAGAGAGAGAGAGACAGAGTTGAAGAGGGAGAGAGAGCGAAAGAGATAGATATAGAGAGAAGGAGAGAGAAGGAGAGAGAAGGAGAGAGAGAGAGAGGGAGAGATAGAGAGGGAGGTCCCGTTATAACAAGTTACATACGTATCCTAATTTAAAGTAATTACACCTCCAACTGTTGTAGTGATTCCAAGTGAGTTCAGATTGGCTGTAAAAAACAATATAAGCACACAGAATATACTTTTGAAATATTAGTTTTCCCAATTACATAATTATGACACACCTTACATTTAGGTACCGTCATCATATCTGTCAATATATTAGCATGCGTAATCACACCACGAGAACCTATCCCCATAGAGAGAGGGGGAGATAGAGAGAGAGAGAGAGAGAGAGAGAGAGAGAAAGAGAGAGGTGAGGGCAAGAGAGAGAAAGAAAGAGAGAGGGAAAGAAAGAGAGAGAGAGAGAAAGAGGAAGAGGGAGAGAAAGAGGTCTCGCTATTGCAAGTCATACCAAGTAGTTAAACCACTTACACTCCCAAGTAATGTTGTGATTGCCAGGTGCGTTCCGACCGGCTGTAAAATATAACATACGACCCAAACAGTACGGTTTTCAAGATTTCATTTCTCAGTTGTGGATACCTTACTTTGCATTTACATGTTTTCAACATATCTATAAGTCTTTTCTTGTTGTCAGGAGTTATCAAACCTCGGGAACCTATCTCTACACACAGTAATTTGGGAGTCCAGCCGGCTTCTGAGATATCATGTATTAGTCCGGCGTACCTGTCGAGCTTTCTTTGGTGGGCCTGTTGAATGTTGGTTTCAAATGGAATTGTCAACTCAAATACTAGTATTTCCTTTTTTCTAAAATGAATGAAACATAAATCAGGTCTTTGTTGTGTTGGAACAATGGTTGGGGGAACCATCCCTCCACTGATTGTCTCCCCTTCCACGTCAGCATACACTTGGTGATCACTATCAAGGCCGTTCTGTTTAATGCTCTTTAGCAGATTATGTACAATGTTATTATGACGCCACGTGTATCTAGTTAACATTTCCTGACAATTATTCAATACGTGATGCAAAGTACCTTTATTCGCTTACCCCATCTATACAAGTTTTTATTACTCGGCAGACTATCAATCGCTGCATTTATTGCAAATTTCATAACTCCTTGTGGTAGATTGAAGATGATGGACTTCCACGACAAGTCACAGTTTTCTATTTCTAGTACCTTCATGAATTCACCCTGGACTAGGAGAGGTTCTATTTCATTTTTCCACTTTTTCCTGCTTTCCTCTTTCAGGTTCGTTTTGACTGATTTTTTAGTATCTTTCCAATTCGTTTGTAAACTGGTTTGATGAATTTGGTGTGCAACCTGGATTGTAGATGACTTTCTGGTCCAGTTTTCCTCTCTGGCCAGTTGTTGATCTAGGGCATGAACTACCATTTCGTCGCCTTTAACTTTCGATCTACTGTAGGCAAGGCAATGACATGTTTGGTAGAGTTCAGAGATAGTGAGAATATTAAGCCCCCCTGGGGCATGAACTACAGCAATATTGGCACCACACCGAGGGATGCCCATCCACTTTTTAATGTATTTGTCTAGAAGTGTATCTAGTTGTCCAAGGTGAGTTGCATGAAGGTCATGTACAGTTAATCTCATAGAGGAGAGAGCATAATCATTAAGGATTCTTAGCTTATACTCGTTTTTTATGTTTACACTATCTATATTCGTGAGGGTACTATCAACCTTATCACGGATGAAATCATATGTTTCTGAAGTCTTCATCTTGAGAGTAATGTGAGATCCTAGAAATTTAATAGGATTATTTTGTACAGATGCAATTTGTTCCCTAGCTAAGGAAAAATCAATAACTGTTGGTTTACCGCCTGAAATTGATAAGGAACGACACTTCTTAGCTTAGACTGTTAAGCCCATACTACTGAGAAGTTTATCTACTTCTTGAACAAGTTTTTGATGATACCTTTTATTTCCAGTTATCAGGTTGAAGTCGTCGGCATACGGAGTAGTTATTAATTTTTGGCCGGCGAAATCGTAACCATATTGCTGCTTCTGGGTTTCAAGATATTCAATAATTGGGTTGAAGCACATGAGAAATACAATTGGGGATAGAGGGTCTCCCTGAAAAACCCCTTTCCTGAAAGCAAAGCGTTCCGATTGCCACCCCGGACCGCATACTCTGCCATTCAGTCTTGAGTAGAGAACATCAATGTAACGGGCTACTGGTTGTGGTATTGCGTAACGGCTTAATGACGTAGAGATCAGCTGATGACTCACGCTGCCAAACGCGTCAGCCAGGTCGAAGAATGTGATGTGCAATGTTATTTGTTTACATCGAGCATGTTTCAGAATTTCATGAACGACTTGGTTGTGTTCTATACAGCCGTTCACTCCGTTAATGAATGCCTTCTGGACCCGTTTATCTATGAATTCATTGGCTGTGAGATAGGTTGACATTCTCTCCGATAAGATCTGATTAAATATTTTACCAATGCAACACGTCAAAGATATCATCCGAAAATTTTCTGGTTTTGTTGTTTCACCAGATTTGAAAATTAAGGCAACTTTTGATTCGGACCACATTTCGGGGGGATCACCACTTTCCAAAATCTTATTATATAATGTTGCCAGGAAGTGGTGGGTACAGTACAAGTGTTTTAGCATACCATACATCAGACCATCATCACCGGGTGCTGATCTTGCTTTTTTCCGTTTCAGAACATTCTTAACATCCTTGGGTTTGAACGAGTTCATATCGAAGCTTTGGTAATTTTCTGAATTCACGTTAACGTACGGGAACCAGGACAACGACGTAAGATCAATAACATTGGGGACGCTGTACAAAAATATTCGTCTGCTTCCATCTGAGAAAACGTTGGCCGAGGTAAATTTTCATGTAACGAGCCATTACATACTTTCTTCAAGAAATCATAGAAGTTATCCCAAAATCTTTTCTCCAAGTGGGCTCTAGATTTTTTGTCCCTGTGTTCCTTTGTTTTTTTCTTTAAGTGCGATATTGTTTTTATTGCAAGTTTAAATGCTTCCTGGTCCTCTTTGGTCTCATCTTTGCTGAATGCTTTTTTTCGTAGTAGGTTTTTCCGTTTCCTAGCCTGAGTAAGCGTTTTGGGTTCGTGTTCAATATACATCTGGTTGGTTTGATTTTCGAGAAATTCATTTTGCTCCTGAAAATATTCAGTCACGATATCGACAAAAGAGTTTGCTGCCACTTTAGGGCTAACAATGTTGGAGCCAAGATCATAATGAAGGGGAGCGGTGCGATCTTTCACAGCTAGGTTGTGAACGTTCCATTCAGAATCACTCAAGTATGGGATAGTGAATCTTTTACCTTCTGTTCTTTTAATGGCAGCAATGCAGAGAATGACTATTGAGAGTACGTACGTCCATGGTTAGGAGGCCTATATATCAAGCGAGTCTAAACAAAGAAGCACGCCTGACGTAGCGGCGCAATGGAAGGTAATCTTCCGATAGGTGTAAATGATTCACAGTGAGATTTTTGTCCTCGTAAAATATCAAAATATCCACGATTTCGCACAATAATTGGTCTGCAAAATACCGGTATACGAAGAGCACAATACAAACTCACAAGAATTATCACACAAAACAGAATGAGGGGCAGCCTGCTGACAAAATTTGCAAATTTGCAGTGGTATCCTGGAACCGTGTCAGTGGCGCCGTATCCTCGAATTCGTAAAGGCCAGATGAGTTCCATTTTGGAAGTGGATGCAGCATCCAAGCAGTATACGAATACAAAGCAGTGCTATATATATCATAACATGTTTGTGATAGCCTCTGCCTCCCCTTGAAATTTCTATGACTTTCCCTGACTTTGGGAGATTCTTTTTTTTCTTCTTCATTTTTCATGGCTTTCCAGGTTTTTCCATGACCTTTGGAACCCTCAACAACATAGAGATATATTTTCATTCACAGTGCTTTGCAGGTTTTGTTGCTTATAAATAATATGTTGGGATTTCAGAAGAAAAAAATACCAAGGGCAAATTCGCCCAGACAAAAGTACAAAAGCATACTTATAGCCTGGTAAATTGCCTCAGATTCTGAAACAAAATCCCGGATTTAACTCATGCTGCAATGATAATTATAAACCTTTAGGTCAGTCAGGAATCCTATGACTTTTACAAGCCGATACCCTGTCTGATTATCAAGATGTTTACGATTGGAAATCAAAATTTAATTTTTTGTTTTACTAATGGTTTTTCTAACACTGCAGTCTATTAGGGAAAATGAGTACGGTAAAACCAGTTACTCAAAGATTTTCACTTTTTGAGGCACTTCATGATCATTTTGAAGCGCAATTTTTTTAGGGCTTCAATATTACACCATATCACAGACACTGATAACACGTAGGGTCATGAATCTCAGATGTCACATTGTTAAACGATGCCTTTAAGACGTACCCATATATGCGACCTGACTCCAATCTAAATCAAGTCCTTTTCTCCACTCATTCAGCAGATCCACCTTGTTCTTGCTTTCTGTAGCCATGGCGATACCAAGCCGAGCTGCCAATTTGGTGGTGACAGCGTTCTCCTCATCTGAAAGATCGAGAATGGGTGCAAAATTTACAGAAATATTTCACCTTTGTACAAGATTCAAGTTTAAAGTTTTAATGCAGATATTTGTTTGGGTAGTATTCCAGCCAGGCGCCATTTTACACGCGCGCACATACCAATCCAACCACATTTAATAACGTTCGCATCCTACCGGGTACCCATTAAACACCTGGGTGGAGAGTGACAAAAGTAGATTAATGTCTGGTCAAAGGATATATTAGATATTCAAACTTTCACCTGGATTTTTTAAAACTCATTTTGTACAACAGCTGGCCAAATTAAAACATTAGTACCACTGTACCGGTACATGGCTTCAAAATGTAATTCATTGCTCACGCACAGGTGTTTCTAACACGAAACAGTACATAAGCTTTGTGTTAATTATATGACTGGTAATTGCAAGACAGTGCTATCATCATTTGTGAAAAGACTTTAACTCTTATTGCCAAGTACAGTTGCAGTTATTAGTATATACATGTACTATATCTCATATTTTCTAATAATTTTGTGATGCAACCATGTATTTTACATGTTGGTCTGTTTTGTTTATCAGCATTCTTGCTGAATTTCGACAAGGGGGGAGTTGGAGAATATGACAAATTGAGACAATTTACAACATTTCACAGCCATGGATAAACTACATGTATTTAACAAACCTGTCTAAATTTTAGTTTAGATATCCAAAATCAAGAAAATCAATACACAAACGGGGGAGAAACAAAACCTAGAGGTGCTAATATTGAGTAAACAGAACCAAAGTGTATTTCCTACAAGTCCAAAGTTCAGTTTGCTCAACAAAGTATGCACACTGCCACACTCTGGAATAGAGACACAAGGTGATGGTAAATATTGGCAATAAACAAAATTGGAATCTCGGCAAAAATACCAATGGTACATAGTATGTATACATGTATACTAGCTGCATCGGTGCTTCGTGGCCCCGCAGTCATACTTGATGCTATGCCCCTTGATGGTGGTTTTGTTACAAAATTTCAAATACATACTGAAGTGGAAATGGAGGGGGCACTTAACCCTATTTAGCCCCCGGGGGGGGGGGGGGCTTTAGAAGCCCCCCCCCTGGACATTTTTCGCGATAATTTTTTAACGCAAGAAAACCTTGCACTGAAATTTTGTGACTTTTTTCTTTCAGGTCTGGCGCATCTTTTGAAAGAAATTTTTCGAAAATCGGACCTACCATTACAAAGTCACGTGTCACTTTGTCTTTGCATGTCAGCTCGAACATCGCTCATTTTTGTGATTTGTGTACAAAACATATGGAAATCACAGTTTTCAAATAAAGAGATAAAACATTGGTTATTTGGTCTTGTTTATAGTTAAGATGTTTATTTCGGGGTCAAAATAGTTGAATTATAGTTGGAAATGAAATAAAACAACAAAAACAATAAAATACATAAGTTAAAAAAACAAAGAAATACATAAGAAATTATCAAAACAATAGATAACATATGGAATAACCCTGGTTTTTCAATTTTTTGTATTGTTTTATTATTTCAAATGGTCTAACAAATATATGTAGTGAGAAAAAAATGCTTAAATATGAATAATGTCTGATTTATGGGCAAACATGTGAATTTGATGACCTTATTTGCATAAATTACCATAAATATGCAAATGAGTGAATTTTTCAAAAAATTGAAATTACCATAGTATTCTATACACTTCACTTGACATGTATGCAAATTTTTGTGGCGATCGTTCGTTTCACAGCCGAGATCATAGGGGGGGGGGGGCCTTAAAAGCCCCCCCCGGGCTATGCAGTTTCAAAATAGCCCGGGCTAAATAGGGTTAATGATGAATAATATGGGGAAATAATTTAAGGTCTCCATGGAAAAACTTGTATGATTTTACTGCGAGAAAGCATGAATATTTACAGCATTTTCATGATTGCTTTTGATATTTTGCCTCTTCCATAAAAGATCAGTGTCCTATCTACCGACAGATTGCAAAGGAGTGAGGTCAAAAGAAAATAGAATTGTTTTCTTTTTTAGACTGCATTATACAAATGTAACTTTTATCATTATTATCATCATTATTTTTTTAACCCTTAGTATGCCTTTCTGTTATAACTGTTTGTTTAATACAAAACATAAAATCCAATCCAATCCAATCACGGGTCACAATATGTTATCCCTCGTATTTACATACCAGCAATGACCCTGACTTCTACGCCTTTCTCTCTCAGATGTTTGATACCGATGGAGTCGCTCAGGCTAAAAGAACGGAACTCTTCTCCTAAAAAAAAAAAAATTATAAAAGAGAAATGTGAATTAGTGGCATTGTAATCTACTTGATGGACAATGGTCAGAGGACTTCCAGTCAGGGCATTATAATTAAGTCAATTTCAATTTCAATTTCAATTTATTTATGCTTCCAACAAAACATTACAAATTAATTAAAAACATTTACAACAAATGTAGAAATACATATTGGACCAGAGGGGTCCACTAAAAAGCAATGCTTGTACAAGTGTGAACACCTCAAAGACAATTAACCAGTTAGTAGATACTGTACGATCTGAGCATGGGAAGAGATGAAGACTGGATACATGCTCAAGAAAGTTAGGTAATCGTTATTCATATATGTACCGACGGTACATTCTATGGATTACAAGTGAAAGTATTCTTCTCAAGAGGGCAAACAAAAGCTTTTAATGAAGAACATCCAAGAATTTGGCAATGATTAATCTAAAATACACAAAGGGGGACCACTCCATGTGTAAAAGATCCATGGGTATTAGGGGGTCATTTGTACCAAAGCTAACTATGAACTGGTCCATTATCAACAGCATCAATCCATTATCATTCTTTTAGATAAAATGGCCATATGCAGATTAAGGAAATGTTGGTCATTTATAATTTTTGCTGTAACCAAATACATTATTTTGTCATCTCTCTAGGATCTACGGTAATTGTTCATATTTGTGATCTACTAGATACACATAATTACAATCGATTACAAAATTCCAAGGGATTTCCCCTTGAGACCCAGGTCTTAGTCACAGTCTGCAGATAAAAGTCAATTGCCAATTTGAGATTCACACAGATTTACTTATTTCATATTTCAAACCTTCATAACTTTCTTATTACTGGTCCGATTTATTCAACACTTTCTTCTTTTTTTTCCTTCTGCTTTCATACAAATGAACTCATTACAAGGGTGGGATTGCCTCAAATGTGGCTATTAAAGCCTCACTGCACTACTTATAGCTACTTGTGCCCTCTATATAGCAAACAATGCCTAATAGGTGACCATTGGTCCCCCAAGATCCTCTTTTTCTTATGTTAAGTGACAGCTGATTTGATGAGATAACCACCTGTCAGTGACCTTGCAGGGTGGTCTAATCCATCCTGTAAACTAGTACAGATGGGCTTTAAGCTATTATACATTACCTGTTGCAGTAAAATTGATTTGGTTGTCGATGAGGACGCCGTCTGCTGCGAAGACCACCAGCTTGACACCCTGGGGCTTGGTCTTGCCAAAGTAGCCAAACTTAATCACTCGCTGCTCTGCGATGGGCCAGTCGATGTCGGTATCGATGTCCACGCTGTACTCAGGCTGCATCTCACAATAGCCAACTCTAGAATAAACACAAAGTTAATCAAGAAAAGGATGAGTTCTGGGAATGGTGAAAATCAATTTGTGGGCTTTTTCAACCTTTTATGTTAGTGTGGAATCGTGTGTATACAAAAATGTCTCCAGGAAAGGATAGCTCTTCAAATGCCCTCATATTTGAAATAAGACAAGTAACAGTAACAGCTGTGGACCACAATTTCCTGCCACATTTTTGTGTAGTCCCATTATACATATTTCTGAGTACAGAGCATGTAAGACTTAGCAAGACTGGGCCAATTTCATATATCACTTCCACGATTTGTAAACCTTGCAGTATATGCCAATACTTATGGGTTACATTATCAACCTTTTCCAATAACTTCCACACACTTTCTTTCACAATGCAACCGGATGACCAGAACTATTTTTCTTTGAACTTCCTCAAGCATATAAAGCAGTCATACATTGAAATTCATTGTAAGAGTATTGTGTGAGAGTGATTCATTCACTTGACCCTTTAAAATAAGTTTCAAATCTCTATCCATGCAGTACATGTTCTTAGGCAAGGCATTTTATATACGATTGTCTCTCTCTACCCAGGTGTTAAATGACTACTTGGCAGAACATGTTCCTTGAAATGCGGCACTGTTCATAGGTGATGGCTTTCAGAGCTGAAGCACACCATCTCTGATTGGTTCGTGGGTGGAAATGGAGAGCTTTCGAGTGTAACCTGCATATCTGTGGCTCTTCATCATAATTTTTTTACAGCATCAGGATGATAAAATTTCTCCCAATTCCATGAAAATTAGCATTACTGAAATCCAAAGTACACACAGTCAAAGCCTATCCATAATATGTATTTCAAAAAAGTCAAGGAAAGGATTTGAAGGTAACCAAAGGTAAATGATGATGTTGGCGGTAGGGGGTGTGTAATTTCGGTAAAAGTTGTGAATTATATACCTCTCTTTACAAATCTAGCCATCTGATTGGTCCAAATTGGAGTTGTGATTTTAGCCATGCCCGTAACGGTTAATACATGTAGTTCATGAGTGAAAATAGTACCGGGAAAATAGTAAAATTTTGATGAGATCTCTATTGGTTTATGTGTTAAAACTTACTTTGTGTGAGCACTGATACCATAAAGTGCTTTTTGTCTGCGATTCCCTTTCAGTCATCTTTCCAGCGAAGATTAACAGACAGTGTCTCAGATTTTCTGTGATGTTTTAACGATCTTAACTCAAGAAAAGGACAAAGTAAGAATTTGTGGTAGATTTCTGTGTCAATTTGGTATATAAAAGACATATTGACTGCTGGCGCACCTCGAGATATGGCAGGATGCAACATCCCCTTGAGCCTATAAAAACAGCCAGACCTCTCATAGCAGTCGATATATCTATAATATTCTAGACTTCACCTACTTTCCACCCTGGAAGAGTCCAGCCATCAAGAGTTCTCTTGTTGCAAAGTAGAAGGATCCATTCTCATACAGCTCGCCGGCCCAGTCCTGCCTGCGTGGCCTCTTAGCAGGGTCGAGGTTCTCAGCCTTTGTACTCACAGCTGCAATAGTAATAATAATAACGACAATAATAATTATGCTAGTGATAATAATAATAATAATGATAATACCAAGAGTAATAACAATAATAATAATAATAATTATGACAATAGTTATAACAATATAATTACAATAATAATAAAAATAATGATACTACTAATAATTATAAGGAAAATGATAATAATAATAAAACGAAGATGAAGAAGAAGAAGAAGGAAATAGAAAATGACTTACCACAGCACACTTGCGCTTGGACATTTCCAGTCAACATAGAAACCACTCAACTGTGAAAGTTTAAATTTCATTTTCATTTTCATTTCCATTTCATATCTTCCCGATGCAAATTTTCACATAGATATTTGTTTTGCCCACCTTGGTCTATAGGGGTCTCGGTCCATCGGAAGAGGTGCCTCCTGTTGACGGCAAACACCGAGTCGTAGCCCAGGTTTCTGATCATGTGACAGGTCCTCTGGAGGTGGGATGGATGTAGGCAAGGAGATGTGCACTGGACGTTGGCTACAAACTTGACCTCTGGTCAGTGAAATAAAGCAAAATAAGAATCATCATAATATAGTAATATTAGCTAGTTCTTAGCGCTTTTCAGGACCGAAAGCCCTCTCAAAGCGCTTTACAGATATATACATTATTACCCCGGTCATCGGATTCAGGCTTTCCTGCACACAATGTATGCACATTTTCTTCTCCCTGGGGAGCATTCCAGCCAGGCGTCATTTTACAAGTGCACACTTGCTAATCTAAGCACATTAACTTTCGCATCCTACCGGGTACCCATTCAACACCTGGGTGGAGAGTGGCAAATGTAGATCAATGTCTTCCACCAGGACATTAGTGCCGCGGTGGGACATAAGGTAGGCAAGGGAAAGGGTCGAGGGAGTGGTGTGCAATTCAGCTCTGGGAATCTTCAAAGAAGCTCTGGAAAATAGAGAGGACTAAACTGCCTGTATGTGCATAGCCCAATGTGGCATCATGAACAATGATGTCAGGGAGCAAAAAGGCAGGTTATCATTAAAGGCCAAAAATAATTTTCCCTCCCTCCCTCCCTCCCTCCCTCCCTCCCTCCCTCCCTCCCTTCCTCCCTCCCTCCCTCCCTCCCCCCCCCCTCCCCCCCCCTTCCTCCCTTCCTTCCTCCCCCCCTCCCCCCTCCCCCCCCCCATACCTGCCAACCTCTGGAGTTCAAAAACTGTTTTCTTTATATTCAAAAGTTGTATTTTTACTGACAAAAGTTAAATTCTTAAAAATAAACACAGCCTGTTACGCGGATCAATACCTCTTACAGAACTTCCTACATATAGGAAGAAATTTGTTATGGATCATTGGTTGAATATGCATGATTTCCTCACGACTGGTGTGTTCGATGAACCAATAAACATCAACAAATTGCCAATGTGAGATGCTTGGAGGATACTTTACAGGACAGAATGGGCATTTTGCCATTCAAAATGGCACACGCACACACATAAAATACTTTTTTTTTTAAATTACAAAAAATAAAATTGTTTTGTTTTTGTTTTTGGAAAATATTATTTTTCTGAGGAAAATTGTACTGTGGGATGTGCTTCTAAAAAATGTACGAAATATGACTAAATTGTACTGGTCGGCAGGTCTGCTCCCCCACCCTGCCTCCCTCCCTATATACCTACCTACATGTACCTTCCTAATATTAGACGACTGTGCATTTGCATCGAACATGAATGATTTAAAGTAATTGGGGTTTTCTTTTCACTTAGTCTTTTTATTTTGTTTCTTTATTAACATGTTTTTGTTCGTTTGTTTTCTTTTTCCTCAAGATTACATTTAAACAAGAGCTTTCATGGACAATCTTCAATACCTGGATGTTCCTTGAGAAACTCTTGCATAGCCTCGATGGAGGTGGCTTGGTCCCGGGCAGTATGGGGGCTTCTCATGTGTACCTGGGCACCCCATTCCTTGGATATCCTGGCAATGTCAGCATGATCTGTTGACACCCAGACGCTGTCAAATTCTGAAGGAAACATCAAAACCAATTGCCAAATTATTATTTCAAAGATACATGGATTTGTTAAAAGAGTTCAGTTAATAATAATAATACAATATAGTTCCATCTTATATAGCGCTTTTCAGGACCGCAGGCCCTCTCAAAGCGCTTTACAGATGTTTATTATTACCCCGGTCATCGGATTCAGGCTTACCTGCACACAATGTATAAACATTCTCCACTCCCTGGGGCAGGGGCAGCAGAAGGGTATGGAAAACACAAAAGAGATTCACTTTAAAGAATAATCAACTGAACATACATGTACAATAACAATTTTGCAAGGAATGCTTTTTGCAATGGGAAATCCCCATAGAGCTCCCACAAACAAAAACCAAACAAAATATTTGTTATGATTTTGCACACATTGATCTCATGAAAAAATGCAGTTATGTCATGTCAAAAATAAGATATGATAACACATAAATATTGTCTAGTTCTTAGCAACAGATTGATAAAAAAAGTAATGTACAATGTAGGCAATACATGTACATTTAGGCTCAACATGAACTGATTTTTGTTTATGGGTAAAGACTATTTGCCCATAATGTTGTATACAAATTACAGACCCAAATATGAAAGAAATATCCTGAACTACAAAGGAATAATGCACTTTTACTTATTACTTAATAATACGATTGGAGAAGGGCCCTTAGCCTTAGGGGAAGACAGTATTAATACTGATAAGACTCCCCTGGGTTAAACGTACATGTACATGTACATGATATATATATATATATATATATATTACATGTTTTTAATAGTTTAAACAATTGTAGCAATAACATTCCTGAGGAAAGATCTAAGTGAAATGAAATGAAATGAAATGAAATGAAATTGTAGTACATACATGTATGTCATGTAAATGTATAGGACTATTAAGAAATTCACAAGGTTAAGATACTGACAGAGATAACGGTATTGTTCGCTGAAAATCCTGTTTTAAGGATAATACACAAGCATGAATTTAACACAGCTGAGTCCACAACTTGAATTTGTGGAAGTTTCGTTGTCAGCATGATCAATAACCATATGTATATTGCATACAGTACGTAGGCTGTTATTTCAATCAATATTTAAAGGGATTGGGTATCTTTGCCTCAGATTCTAAACAAAATCCTGGGTTTAGCTGATGCTGCAATCATAATTATAAACCTTTAGGTCAGTCAGGAATCCCATGACTTTTACAAGCCGATCGAATCGAAATTTCATTTTTTGTCTTCCTAACATTTTTATAACATTACAGTCTATTGGAAAATATGAGTATGGTAAAACTTTTTAGGGCTTCAATATCATAGTACAGCGGATAAGCTCCTAATATAATGAAAATTGTGCACTTTTTGAGAAAAGCATGAAACTTCTAGCGTAGTTAGTTTAGACCATAAGATTTATTTTCAGATGTGGAGGGAAGTCAGATTTGACATCTGATGACCCTGAGAGGTAAAATCCAAAATGGCAGCTATTCCTCATGGTCTAATGTACAAACACACTTAACTTTTGAACCAAATAGTCCAGAAAAATGTTTAAGGTGTCATTTCCAACTAACTTGGGGATGCCAATTCATTTGGTAATACTTTTGAGATCGCTTGAACTTAGGGTTTTGCATTTAGGTCAAGGTCATGGTCAAAATTGACTAAAAAATAGCAAGTTTTGAATGGTTACAAAAAGTTTTCCCATTTATTTGTCATTTGTTCTCTCTTATGTTCTCAAATTTCTTTAGGAATTTACGCACCTTAATCCCTTTCAGTGAGTTTATTTCACATTTTGATTTGACCTCTGATGACCCTGAGAGGTCAAATAAAAAATGGCAGCTATTCCTCATGGTCTAATGTACAAACACACTTAACTTTTGAACCAAATAGTCCAGAAAAATGTTTAAGGTGTCATTTCCAACTAACCTGGGGATGCCAATTCATTTTGGTAATAATTTTGAGATCGCCAGAACTCGGGGCTCTGCATTTAGGTCAAGGTCAATACAAGGTCAAAATTGATTAAAACATAGCAAGTTTTGAATAGTTACAAAATGTTTTCCCATTTTTTTGTCCCCTTATGTCCTCAAATTTCTTTAGGAGTGGTTCCCCTGCATAGTCCCCCACCTTAATCCCTTTCAGTTAGTTTATTTCACATTTCGATTTGACCTCTGATGACCTGAGAGGTCAAATAAGAAATGGCGCCAGTCCGCAGCACGGTCTAATAATTGTACAAACACGCTTAACTCTTGAACCAAATAGTCCAGCAAAACGTTTAAGGTGTCATTTCCCACTAACTTTGGGATGCCAATTCAATTGGTAATACTTTTTAGTACGCCAGAACTCAGGGCTTTTGCATTAAGTCAAGGTCAAGGTCAAAATTGACTAAAAAATAGCAAGTTTTGAATGTTTACAAAAAGTTTTCCCATTTTTTTGTCCCCTTATGTTCTCAAATTTCTTTAGGAGTGGTTCCCCTGCATAGTCTCCATCGTAATCAGTTAGTTTATTTCACTAATTATAGCACCAAACCATTATTTGTCTTGTAACTGACCATTTGCATATAGCATGGTCAGTGGGCAGCTACATGTAGCAGCGCTCAAAATACATGGGGGCGGTGGGCGATTCGCCCCCGTGAGCTACATAATCGCCCCCGTCAGGTTGCTCACGGGGGCGATTGCAAAATTAAAAATCGCCCCGGTGGAATTATAAAATAAAGATTATCTTTTCTGTTATAACTTTAACACAATATTGAGTTTCAATTTTCAAACCTTAAACCAATGAAATGGAACTAAGATTAGCATGCAAGATTTCTCGTTTTATGAGTAGGCCTATTATTACCGATTCAGCTCGCAGTGCAGTGCCGCCGTCAGCAGTGGTTATAGGCCTACTGCGCCGTTAGTAGCGGTGCGTTTGCACGCTGCCGCGCCATGTCTGCTGGAGCTGGAGGTGATCGCGCAAGGGCAGAAACATGGTCATGGCCTGGAGAAGTTTTTCGTTGTCAGCAAATAATGAACCTCGACCAGTAAATCAATATTAGGGACTTTTAGATTTGCACGATGAGAACGTGGACTGCAACGTGTGACCTCCTTTTAAGGCACTGCCAGTGCTTAAAAGGACGTAACACGTCCACGTCCACGCAAATCGAAAAGTCCCTTTTGAGGAGAAGAGGAAGACCAAAATGTCGTTGAATGATATGGTAACATGGGCAGATCTACGGGGGGGAGGGGGGGGTTAGGGGGTTTAAAGATCAGTGTTGTATGCGTATATATTATATACACAGGCCAGTAACAGCTATGTAGCTTGTAAATTTCTAAGAGGGAAAATGCTGATTGAAATGATAATGAAAAAATAGCAAATAATTGAGGAGTATCATACAGTGTAGGTACCAATTCAATGGATATTTGTATAAAAAAAGAGCCCCCGTCAGTAATAAAAGAGCCCCCTTGAGCCTTCTCACGGGGGCTCTTTTTTGGGGGGAGGGGGGGGGGAAGAGCCCCCGTGGACAAACAATTAATTTGAGCCCTGGCAGCTAGGCAGTATCCTGCAAAAATCTCAATTCAAGGCAGGAAAACTGCTCCTTTCCATTACTGCTCAGTAATACTGGTAAGATGTTCTTTAAGTTACTTTGTGTTTTATTTGGTTCTAAGTAATTTAAAGGATCCCTACAGAGTTTGAGGAACAGGCCATAAAGCAAAATAACGGTTATGCTAACACTAGACAACATCACCATGACCAGCAACCTGGAGTGCAGTTAGCATTCTTGAGGATGGGAAGTTTTGACAGTACTGAAAGAGATAGGGAATCCATTTCTAGAAATTGCAAGAAAGGATGCACTGAATATTGTGCTCTTGTTCTGGAGACTGTTAGATTTTGATCGTTACCATTAGGATATACATAAGTTGTGGACAGTGCTAAATACATGTGGATATCTATAGCTGTGGTAATGAACAGGTTTTACATGTAGGTCGTATTTGGAATAGCTTTTTTGCAAATTTTCGTGCTATAACTGTAGCAGACAAATTTGGTTAGCAAGAAAACAAGGCGTCCACCTTGTGCGTTCACAATGAATGTGCATTGTTACAAAATTCATTTTCGTCCAGTAAGCAGCGTAAGGTTAATCCACTTTCATGTGCTTACGGTTAGCAGTGCTATGAAGTAGAAACTCATACATAAGCACAGAACCAGCCGATAAGCAGCTATATACAATTTTGCCCTGGATGGTCAAAGTGGTTGCACACGGGTCTTTTTATTAATTTATAAAATAATGACCCCTTAAGTGTCAAAATAGAGGCAAAGTTTATTTTAAAAAAAAGAAAACATCACTTTTTTGACCTAGTATGACCTTGAACTTGACCTTATTGCAAATCCCTGAGTTCAGGTGATCTCAAAAGTATTACCAAATGAATTGGCATCCCCAAGTTAGTTGGAAATGACACCTTAAACGTTTTTCTGGTGTATTTGGTTCAAAAGTTAAGCGTGTTTGTACATTAGACCATGCGGACTAGCGGCCATTTTGGATTTGACCTCTCAGGGTTATCAGAGGTCAAATCTGACTTCCCTCCACATCTGAAAATAAATCTTATGGTGAAAGCAAACTATGCTGGAAGTTTCATGCTTTTCTCAAAAAGTGCACAATTTTCTTGCTAAGCCGTTGCACTATCATACCATATCACAGACAATGACATAGGGCAATGCATCTCAATATTCTGTATTCCACATATAAAAAGTGTATAAAAATACATACATGTACATGAACATTGACAATTAAATCTACTTTATGTACATGATCATGTCCACTTCTATTTTTGTTTAAACTGGTCCATATTTTGCACTACAATATTGTTGAAGCAATTTGATTCTCAGCCTTCTGCCTAGTGATGTGATAGAAAATCATTTACCATAAAATTGATCTCATTCAGAAAAATATATTTCTGAACATTCAGACTAATTTTATTTGCTATGGTACTTTTTGCTTTTAGCATCCTTTTCGTCATCATCATCATCATTATTATCATGTCATCTCATCGTTAGATTTAATTCAATCCTACTAACACTGATTTCGTTTAATTATTTTCTCCTCCTCCTCCTCCTCCTCCTCCTCCTCCTCCTCCTCCTTCTTCTTCTTCTTTTTTTCTTCTTACTTTTCCCTCTCATCCTCTTTTTCTTCTTCATCTCCTTTTTTGTTTTTCTCTTCACTGCAGACTGGATTATCTGTGATATTAAAACTGCTACTGTGTGCATTAATAGGAGTAAATGACGCTTAGACAGTGGAGACTATACATCACCTTATATAAAGAATCATATTCATAACATATTCGTAATCCACAAAGAGAGTGAGGTGGCATTCTCGTCCACAATACACCACCACGTCCACTACTCATGCATTTACTCCACAAATCATGAGCTTCATTGACATTATCATGATTGTCTGTAATATATGCCATTTTCATAATGTAATCAAATTTAACACACAAATCTTGTTACAAATAATTTTATTCCAATTGTCAGAATGCAAATTAAAATGCATTTATTCCCAATACCGTAGTTGAATGAAATTCAACGATTTATGCATTGAATTTGAATACAATACTGAAATGGTCTATTGTCAATGGAATGGAATGCAGTGCCAATCAATCACCACTGTGACTTCCATACAGTTTCCACCTCCAGCATACAACTTTACATTTACAAGACAACATTCACATTGTACTTAGTCTAGGATTAAACCTGAAAGTGTGTGTGGATGTGTACACAAACAATGAATATGCTATTTCAATGCAGTTGCAAGTTGTTACAGCCACAGTACTATATGGCCATGGGCGTTGTCACCATTTCTAGAATACGTATCGACTAAATGTATGGCTCTGCCTCTAGCTCTGAGTGAGTCTGACCATCAGACTGGAGCTGGAGGCGTGTCATCGGCACACCTACTGTACCTACGGAGCGCTAGAGCACTTACCTCCCGAATCTATGGCGGCGCGAAGCACCCACGCGATGAGGGGTTGTCCAGCTAACGCTTTGATGTTCTTTAATTTTATGCCTTTGCTTCCACCGCGAGCGAGAATCAAGCAGGCAAAATGTCCAGATTTGCGGTTTGAATCACCAGAATCTGACATTGTGATGGTTTTTGTTTTCAGAGATCCGGATAGAAAAGGTTTTAAAACTGCAGCTCCAAAGAGTACAATGAAAAACACTTCGTCTTCGTCACGTAAGCTCGCTCGCGGAATCATGAAAGTGCAATTACAAAGAGGGGTTATTCAGGCCCATTAAACACGTAGTACATGAGTAGTAACTACGGATGCAACTAAATCTTATTAAAAGGTTAAACTCATGGTGAATTTTACAGCATTCAATATCTATTTGAGCTTCAAGTCTACAATAAGCTCGTATTCACCATACTTTAGCATTTCAAAGAATTCACTTTTTTTTTTTTTACACGATTTCAAGGAACATACCATGGACCTTCTACGTAGTAGTACTATGAACATACACATCTAATATACTACAGAAGTATTGTACAATAAAGTATCTCTGTATACAATATAAAAGACTTTGAGCTCGAGCTTGGAGGGGGGGGGGGGGTGGCATTGATAAGTGGTGGTGGTGGGTTGGGTTTGGTGTTTATCTCAGCATCCTTATTATTTTTTCTACCTTTTCATACTCATTGAATTTTTCTCCCCCTTCCTATTGAATTTCTTTTCGGTTGTTTATTCCATGTCCTTGTATGGTAGCTATATCCTGAAGAAAAGGCGTCCCATTGCAGCACAACCCCGCCCCCCCCCCCCCGGAGCTATATAATAGGCCTATTTTTCTAATTTCTTCATGTTCTCATATTATGAGCTTTTTATTAGATCCCATTATGTTTTTCTTTCTCTATCTCTCTCGTTCTAACGGGCGGCTCCTCCTCCTCCGGCTCCTCCTCCTCGAGACCTCCTCCTCCCGTCCTCCTCCTCCGCTCCTCCTCCTCGATCCTCCTCCGGCCTCCTCCTCCCGTCCTCCTCCTCGTCCTCCTCGATCCTCCTCCGGCCTCCTCCTCCTCCTCCTCCTTCTACTTCTGTCCTTTTCCTACTCCGCCTCATCTTTCAGTACTTTAGATTTGTCTTCTTCTTCTGGCTTCGATCGGTATTCTCCTATCTCCTCCTCAATCCGCCTCCTCCTCCTCCTCCTATTTCTTGTTCTTGTTCTTCTTCTTCTTGAGGCCTTCCTCAACTATCTCCTCTTCACGGTTTTCTGCCACGTTTAGTTTCGTAGTTAATATTAATATTTTGTATTATTAACAATCAAATACTCTCGGCATTTGGTTCGGTATATAATTTCCCAAGGCATATTCTCAAATGCCAACATTTTTCATCCATCACTTTAATTCCTATAAACATGATATTAAAGGTTCTTTTCATTGATGTTTTTTGTATTGGTTTAGCTGGCATACGTACTGTGGCGGACACGATTTCGCCACCTTGGCTTGACACGGAATATTTGTCAGGATGCCCCGTGTCGGCCAGGCGCTCTCCGTCCGTTTGGACAAAATATATGCCCGTAGCTTAATGGCTGGAGTTATTAACTGCTCACACGTATCTCAACAATCATTCGTCCATCGACTACAATCGGTCACCTAAACGTCTCGTTCACAGCATCAATCAATTGAGCATCCTTCGAACAATCAATTTCCCTTGTCAACACTTGTCACAGGTTCTCGTCCCTTGGTTTCACTGCTCCAAGAAATCAAACCAATCATGATGTGTAGGTTGAAAGTCTTTATTGCGATCCATTCGACAATTGGGTAAACTCAGTACAAGTACGGTGCAAACTATGTGAGACTTAGCTTAGAGACTTAGGCCAGGCCAACTATCAGGCCAACTATCAGGCCAACTATCAGGCCAACTATCAGGCCAACTATCAGGCCAACTATCAGGCCAACTATCAGGCCAGCCTCGGTGAGGCTGGCCTGTATCGGATACAGTGCAGTGGAAAGCCCTAGATGCACAACCCTGCCCGTACTAAAAATTTCCCTATACATAAACGCATAAAAGAACAATTATGTCCTCGTTAGTAAAACAACACTTCAACACAATATTTCTGCTAATACCATAAAATCTTCACATATAATCTTCAGTATAACCCCTTATTCCTGATTAGATCACTACTATACAAGTAATATCCCCAAAAGAAACATGATAATTGCACCAACATGATCAAAATATGTAATTTATGCTCATTTTCCTTCAGTTTGGTAATTGCTAAATCAACGATGCACCATATTGCTATAGCGCATGCTCGTACAACAGAAAATGCTTAACCTTCGTCCAATACTAAAACCCTGATTTGTTACACGATTCCCTTCCCTCCCAAGCTTGGTCCCCAAGCTAACTTATCTATAACTTATGCAACAACAACAAAACAAATCAAAACTAAAATCCAAGTCTTTTCTGACAGTTCAAAATGGCTCTTTCCAAAAGTGTTCAACTGTTCAAAAGTTAGTTCGTTTCCTTTCCTTCTCAGCATCCCTGGGCTCATTGTTCTTTCTCTCCATTGTCGTTCTACACTTCCGTCAGCTCGATCAGCTGCAACACCGTCAATGCTACCTCCCGTCGTCCCCAAGCTCCGTCAGCTCGACCAGCTGTGACGCAGTCAGTCTTACTGCCCGTTGTCCCCAAGCTCCTTCAGCTCGACCAGCTGTGACGCGGCAGTCTCACTGCACGTCGCCCCCAAGCTTTATCAGCTCGACCAGCTGTGACGCCGTACGACCTACTGCCCTTCGTCGTCCCCCAGCTCCGTCAGCTCTACCAGCTTGTGACGCCGTCAGGCCTTCTGCCCGTCGTCCCCCAGCTCCGTCAGCTCTACCAGCTTGTGACACCGTCAGACCTACTGCCCGTCGTCCACCAGCTCAACCAGCTGTGACGCCGTCAGACCTACTGCCCGTCGTCCCCCAGCTCAACCAGCTGTGACGCCGTCAGTCTTACTGCCTGTCGTCCCCCAGCTCCGTCAGCTCTACCAGCTTGTGACGCCTGTCAGACTTACTGCCCATGGTCCCCCAGCTCCGTCAGTGCTACTGCCGTCGTCCTCCAGCTCCGTCAACTCGACCACTCCACACCATCAGCTATCCCACTTCTGACACCATGTGTGGCGGACACGATTTCGCCACCTTGGCTTGACACGGAATATTTGTCAGGATGCCCCGTGTCGGCCAGGCGCTCTCCGTCCGTTTGGACAAAATATATGCCCGTAGCTTAATGGCTGGAGTTATTAACTGCTCACACGTATCTCAACAATCATTCGTCCATCGACTACAATCGGTCACCTAAACGTCTCGTTCACAGCATCAATCAATTGAGCATCCTTCGAACAATCAATTTCCCTTGTCAACACTTGTCACAGGTTCTCGTCCCTTGGTTTCACTGCTCCAAGAAATCAAACCAATCATGATGTGTAGGTTGAAAGTCTTTATTGCGATCCATTCGACAATTGGGTAAACTCAGTACAAGTACGGTGCAAACTATGTGAGACTTAGCTTAGAGACTTAGGCCAGGCCAACTATCAGGCCAACTATCAGGCCAACTATCAGGCCAACTATCAGGCCAACTATCAGGCCAACTATCAGGCCAACTATCAGGCCAGCCTCGGTGAGGCTGGCCTGTATCGGATACAGTGCAGTGGAAAGCCCTAGATGCACAACCCTGCCCGTACTAAAAATTTCCCTATACATAAACGCATAAAAGAACAATTATGTCCTCGTTAGTAAAACAACACTTCAACACAATATTTCTGCTAATACCATAAAATCTTCACATATAATCTTCAGTATAACCCCTTATTCCTGATTAGATCACTACTATACAAGTAATATCCCCAAAAGAAACATGATAATTGCACCAACATGATCAAAATATGTAATTTATGCTCATTTTCCTTCAGTTTGGTAATTGCTAAATCAACGATGCACCATATTGCTATAGCGCATGCTCGTACAACAGAAAATGCTTAACCTTCGTCCAATACTAAAACCCTGATTTGTTACAGTACTGTACCTCAATCAAGTTTTGGGCATAGCCGCGGAGAATTAGAAAATTCACGCAGAGAAGGGAGGTCCGAGAAAGAAAAAAACATGAAGCATTTCATTATTTTATTAGTTCTCTTTTTTTAATTTTTTTTTATAGGGATGCCAGATACTGGATTCAAATTGGCTACCACGGGCAGTGAGGAAAGAAAGAACAAGGAATTGGATAGAGGCGGGAAAGCTGAAGAATGAAAGAAAAGCTATAAGAAAGTAAAAGACTAGAAGATGGGAATAAAAATGTAACTATGTTTGAGAAAAGGAGTGGGAGACTGAAAGAGATCACGCAGGAACAAAAATGATGCAGTTTTATCCTCTCTCTCGAATCTCCAGGGTAGCCGACCTCTGTTTTTTACTAGCGCGCCATCTATGGTAAATGTGCGATTAACGTCAGCTGAAATATTGAGCTCATTTTGATACACAATGGCGGAGACCGAGAGGTAAAAAATATTTCGAATTACTTTATGCTTGTTCATTATTTCTTTGGTAACGCGACATTATTTTGTTGTAAAATTCCATCCTTCATTAAGGTAGCTGGATTAACTTGTAATGATAGAGATTTAAGAGCATATGAAATGAAAGACCTTGCAAGCTTTGCTCTTGCTAGAGCGAATTGCAGTCAGTTGTTTGTGTGAGTTGTACTTGTAATGGCATTGGCATGATCATGATGATTGGCGCTGGCGCTTGTGTGAAATGGAAGTTTCATGATCTTAAATTAAAGGCACACTGTCCTACTTGTAGCTTCTTGCTCCCTCTATATAGAAAACTTCCCCAATCGGTGCCTGTTGGTCCCCCATGATCCTCTTTTTCTTATGTTAAATCAGAGCTGAGTTAATGAGATAGCCACCGGTCACAGTGACCTCGCTGGCTCGCTGTGTGGTCTAATCCCTTCTGCTGAAGTAGAGTAAAGGAGCCGGTTAGTAAAGTCTGCCTTTAAAACAAGAAAAATAGTGCATTTTTGTACTGTCTGTATGAATTTTTTTGTTTTTGTTTTAAGGAGTAAGTGTACCTTAAGAATTATCACAATTAAAACTAAATGTGGTTATCAGTCGGGTCAAGCTAAGTAGGTAGAGGAAAGAAGAAGAAAAGTATGATTATTAATATTAATTATGAAGTTCATTTTGAAATCTGATTTTGATTTGACATTGACATTGTGTACAAAATTTGTAGAGATATATAATTGATGGTCGAAAATGTGCCATGAAGTAAGATGTCAAGGAACTTGTTCGGTCTCACAGCACATTTCTGGTTTTTGGGGTAAGGTCTAGTAGACAAAATATAATACTAGTACTACAAACAATGTTATTTTTTAATTTAGAATATGAATTGACCTTTTCTCCAACTTAATTTTTTATTTTTTGTATGAGGGGTTGGAACTTGGATTTCTGGACAACAAAAAGCCTACTCTTGCCTTCAGATTGGACAAAATTATTCATAAAATAGTACTTGCCACCATTAATATTTGCAGGTGGTCTGAACTATTAAGGGTACATCAACAGAGACGCCAAGTTTAAAGATCGGCAATGCGTGATATTTTCATGATTCGGCGCACCAGGGAAAAAATTACTTTAAAAATTTCGGGGGCTACTTTTCAAGCTTGCTTGCATGAAAATAACACTCTCTAATTTGTTTTGCATTGAACTCTATGCAAAATTTGGGGGCTCTTTTAAGACTTTCGGGGGCCCTTTTGGGCATTTCGGGGGCTAATTCGCCCCGAGCCCCCGTGTATTTTTTTCCCTGCGGCGCACAAGCGCGCGTGCGAGAGTATAACACACGTATAAGGTATAGCGTTTTTTCAAAATCTAGCGCGCGTCGTGCGTAAGAGCATTTTCAGACCCTCGAAATGCGTGATGTCACACCTAATGCGTGATACTTGGTAGCTCTGCATCAAATGTAATTCTTATGCCAAGGTCATATCTGATGTCTATTTATTCAGCTTTGACTTGCCTTTACTTTACTTCCAGGGACGTGCAGCCCGTGGATTGTGCTATCATCCACAACATCTACGACAATGGCAGTGCGAGGGAGCACTTTGAATTTGAGCTGGACCAGGCCCTCGAGGCCAAACGCAGTATCATCATTATAGAACCCGCTCACCTGGGAGACGAGACCGCTCGTTGGATCACAGTAGGGAACTGCTTGCATAAGACATCCGTCCTTTCTGGCATGGCTTGCCTCGTCGCGCCAGCCCTGCTCCCTAATCAGGCAGTAAACTTTGTCACCTTCCCGACGGGGACTGTAAGCGTGGCCTGCGCTCTTCTATACGGAGTGTCGTGGCAGTCGGACCCATGTTGCAAGTATCAGGTAGAGTACGACACAAGGAATCTGTCACGGCTTCCACTTCATTCCCTGACAACGGCCACACCCGTAGTTCTGGTTCGGAAAGACGATAAATACAGGAAAGCCCTTCACAACTTGGTAGCCGGGCTAGCCGCAGCTCTACTGGCGTACAAAGTCTACCAATGGTGCATTCGCTAACACAACGTTCAGAAGAATCACTTTTGTTAGCATTTTCATTCACTCCTATCGCCTGAGGAGGTTCTGAACTGTTTGTTAGAGGAGCTTGCAAGGAATAACTGTCAAAGTGAGTTCTGTTATGATGATCAGGTCGACTTGCCATTGCCCGGATGAGAGGAAGGAACGTAGAGCTAAAGAAGGAATATAGAGAAAGATGAACTGTTCAAAGATGGAGGAGGATGGATTTACTGTTTGATGAGCCTGGAATTTATTCTCTGTTTGACTACTCTTGTACTTGTGTGTCATTTTATGTGTTGTTTTGTTAAATGTATTTCAAAGGGTGTGTGTTTAAAAATTTGGATGATGAATAATTGAAACTTGTATTGCAATCAGGTTTTATTCAAGGAGACATCCTATGAGAGGCCTGGGGGGGGGGGGTGTTTTCACAAAGATCCTACAGTGTAACTTGAACTTATCTCTAAGTTGGACTTCTCTCTAAGTTGGACTTAAAAATTATGAAAAACAGTAAGCATCTTTGAAAATATTTGTAAAAGTTATTTTAAAAGGCATAAATGCTGATTCAAATCATTCATATTTTCTATTATCAAGGAGATTTCATGTTCTTGATGGAATTTATAAAAAATCTAAAATTATATATAGGCCTACTTGATGTTTCGCTTTTGAATTTACTCTAAGGCTACAAATGGCTCTCCATAATTTTAAAGGCCAACTTAGAGTTAAGTTCTACATGTACTTAGGATCTTTGTGGAAAGCCCATCGTTGTAGTACATAAATCATTCATTTTCAGTCTCCATTACCTCCATTGTGGATTAACCATCTGTGAATCATCATTGTTGCTGAGAATATTTGATAGAGTTCGAAAAGGATTATATCGGGCCTATATGTACATCATTTTGATTGCCAAGTGCTAACGTATTCATATTCAACTGAGAAATGAAGCCAGTGTACTGTAATGTGTATCAAAATGAGATCTGAGGTTTCTAAAATATTCATGTAGCCAACTTGATTTGTGCAGTCATTCACCGTATGTCTACTAATTGCTGAATTTCAATCTTTAATAGTCTGATTTTTCCTGGAAAATGTTACTCTCAAGAAGTACATCATCAAAAGGGCCATATACATCAATACATGTATATGTACTTGATTTCCATCATTGTTTGTGTGTGCATAATGTATACCTTTAATATTTTTATAGCACTTACCAAGTACAATTCTGTTAAGATGTGAGGTCTTTAGGCTTGTTGATAGTGGTGATATTTTGTCTTCCATTTCTTCATTTTTCTTTCAACTCAAGCGGGTTCTTTGCATTTTACGAGCTATACATGCCGATGCTAGATGGAGCACATGAATGAATTTGTAGTTTGTAGATGGCTTTATAAAACAGTGAAATAATGGTAGCTTGATAAAAGATTATTTGAGCCCTGCTCGTAGTGCAATGTACTTTTGAAAATCACCCCAAATCAAATTGAGTAATGAATCGTAGTCTGAGCAGGGAGCAGAATGTGGTTAGAAATGTCATCTCCAATGAGGGATGAGTAATTTTTGATGGATTGGCTCAGACATATGGGTTCTTTTACATGTACGCTCCTATGACAATTGCTCTTTGATCACTTTCCGACACTACGTTATTACACACCAATACTTATCTGTTACATGATTAAAATTTCCAATCACTTTAAATTCTTTTACATCGCGATCGCATGACCAGGGACGTGTTTCACAAAGCCTATTTTCAATGACAAATAACAAAAAATAGTGACAAATCTGCTGATAACCAATCAGAAGCAAGGATTTCAGTAGCTTATAACAAAAACTGTCAATTGTTACTGATGACAAGTTGTGTGAAACAGGGTCCTGAACTCAACTTTATTTTTTAGAACATTCGCCCTAAAATTGCAAGGCAAGTGCACTCAATTTTCACCAAGTGTGTTAAAAAATAAACCAGGTAAATAAAGACAAGGGAAGAGGAAGTGTTAGAGGCTGTTCACACCGCAATGAGATAGCGCGGTCTATCGTAGCACCCCTTTTTTTCTAGCGCGCGCTAGACCGCGCTATCTCTCGTGGACCACCCCCAAGATGTGCTCCAGTGGCACGCCGTTTTGGCTTGCCGTGGCTCGCTGTTGGGCGGACCGAAACGACGTTGTACCTCCCAAACCGTAGAGATAGCGCGGTCCAGCGCGCGCTATCTCTGCCGGTGTGAACAGCCTCTTAGTTGTCTAGGTCTGCGAGATGCGGTGATCCCACTCCTGTTTCACTGACCATGTTAACGTGTTCAGGAAGGAAGAGCCTACAAGAGATAGCAGAATAATGTTTCCTTTGTAACCTTTAAGACACTGTAGTTTAGTAGTGGGTCAGGTAGTGGGTCAGTTAGTGGGTTAATATATACCGGTATGTGTGAGATACAGTGGAGCCTTGCTATAAAGAGCACAACTTTACTCTTGTTATAACAAAGTAATGATGCAGATCCCTCGTATGTGTAATTATGTCATTCATGAGCCCTGATTATGTCAAGGATTTAACAAGGTAATTTCCCTTGGTCCTAAGGAGTTGTTGAAAACCTGAAATAAAGTTTCCCTCCAGTAGGCCCCTTGGTAAAAAAAAAAATATATACTTGAATAGAATGCAGTAATGCACAGATTTCTACATTTATGTATTTACTTTGTAGATACATAGCCAGATAGCTAATACATTCGATACTCTTTGGCCTTTACAGTATGCAACTGGATGGTAAAAGTACAGTTCAGTCTACATGTATATCTGTAACATGTACCAGCAAAAAGATGAAGTACAGCAATACCATCTGAGCAACTATATTTACATACATGTAGAGTGTCTTCTGTACATGTCCGTACCCTATATTTAGCTATCCAGTTACTGCTGCACAGTGCATAGGCCATTATTAATGAGAGCAAAGATATATTACTACATTGTACTTGATTTTCTTCCTTTTTTTTGGGGGGGGGATTCTTTCACTTATTCTGTTATGAGAGTAAGGAGATACATATATTACATACCAGCATGTGTGCAATTTAGTAAGATATCAAACCATAGCGAGTTTTCTCATATAAAACAATATGCCCAATTTCGAGGTGTATTGGGGCTTTTACTAGTGTGCACGTACATGTACGTGCCCTTACAAGAGATATAAAATTTTATGATGATGAAAAGTGAGTCATTTGAAATGATCCATGTCTGAGATATGATCCGCAGATTTGTAAGGGTATCCAGGGGTTTCTGCTAACACCCCTGCGAACACCCAGTAATCCCATATGGATTATCCATGATGGTTTAAAGCTCAAACTGAACCCCCAAGATTACCATGGATATGTAAATGGGAAGAAAACCTGAGCCAAGATAGATTGAGATATACTTGTACATTTAGACTGAGATTTATGAAATGTTCCCTCTCAAATTTTATTAAATGACTAATTTGCTGATTCTGTTAGTAATAAAACTTTTCTGAACTTTGCTTTTCAATACAGCTTTTGCTTCGTAACTTTAAACGCTACAGGAATAGATTTGATTGTTTATTTGCTTTCCCAATATTATCTTGGAATAGATATCCCTCACTGTTTTCAAACATTCAGTATTATGTCTATCTATTCACTATTGTGTCTGTATTAAAGAGAAGGTTGAGTTCTGGGAAGAGGTAAAAAATAATTTGTGAGCGTTAACATTGTTATTATGCAAGAATGGAAGAACATCAGATTAAACATGTTCCCTGAAAAGCATGGCTCTTCAAATGCCTTCATATTCTAAATATGACATGAAACATCGTAAAAATCTGGGGTAGTTTTTTTTTCGCCATGTGCTCGTGTAGTCCCATATACATCATTCTGTGTACAGTGCTTGTAACTTTGCTAAGATTTGGCAAAATTTCTTATCATTTTAATGATTCCAGAACCTTGCAATACACACAAATACTTATATATTAGATGATCAACCTTTTCTGATAGATTCCACACCGTTTCTTTCACAATGCAATCACATGACCAGAACTCAACTTTATCTTTAAATTGCTGAGTCAACAATACACTCATCAAAATGATAATTATCATAATTAATGTGTAACCTACCATTTTTCTGATGCATTGGAAAATTCGAAGAGGCTTCTTGCACTAATTTGTAGATGTTTTTGAACTTTTGATCAGTATTTTCCCTTTACTGGAATTGAATTATGTAACAAGGCGTGGCCTCTCTATCTTTTTTCTCACACAATTTCTTCATAGTACACATTAGACCATCATTACACACAAGTACTGTATTCTGCATAAGGAGATATACATTCAAATCTGCTTTAGTGACCACCTGTCTACAAGGACCACATTTTTTGTATCCCTCAAAAGCGGTTTCTAATTGAAACATGTACTAAAGGAGCCTGTCTTTAAAGACCACTTTTTGTGTTTCCCTTGGGCGGTCGCTATAGACAGGTTTGACTGTAATTTCATCTACAGATAATATATTTTAATGGATAACCAGGAGTCAGGGAAACACATTTTTTCAAGTTGTTGCTTTCGCAGGAATACAGGCTACATGTACGTGTATAATGTCTGTACATGCATTGTTAGTTCATTTTGGCATGCTGTTGAATCTGTGACCTGACATCAACTTAGGACATTCCTGAAAAATGACATTTTATTGGGTATGCCTTACATCACGGCTCCATAATCAGTATCTACATCCTTGATATTTAATAATGTTCTGTAGGTTTTGAGAGTTACTTGTGTGTATTCAACATTAAATCTCTCAATGCACATGTACAATACTCTGCAGACAAGACAACGGATTACAAAGTAATTATCTATTTCTGCAGCATGCATTGCCATATGGATGGAATCTACCATGTATACATTGGTTGTTACTATGTCAGATGAGCCTCATGTGCTTTGATGTCACCAAGAAATACTATTGTATGTACCGGTACAAGCAGTTATGACTATGTACTGTAAAACCAGAAAATTAATGCATGAAATCTTTGCAAATTTTGTGATTTGTAACTGTCTCGTATAAATTTTTAAAAATGAATTTATCATTACACAAAATAGACAAGTTTCTTGATACTAGTTTCATGTTGCAAAAATCTCTGGTTTGACAGTATTGGATTGAATATTTTATTGTAGATTGTCAGATAACCTTTGACCTTGGCTATTGAGACAGCAGGTAAACAAAAGCAATGATATTATGATGTGACATACATGTACCCACATGTATTGTACAAGTATCTTTAAAGGTTGTTTAACCCATTGGCTACTGAATTCTCTCCTTCCCATAGGTTTAGTACAGGAACCACCTGGGTGGTGTTTCACAAAGATCCTAAGTTGAACTTATCTCTAAGTTGGACTTAAAAAATATGGAAAGCCATTAGCATCTTTGAAAATATTTTGTAAAAGTTATTTTGAAAGGCATTCATTGTTAATTGAAATCATTCATATTTTCTATCATCAAGGAGATTTCATGTTCTGGATGTGGAATTAATAAAAAGTCTAAAATACTTGAATTTCTGCTTTTGAATATATTTCATTTAAAGACTCCAATGGCTGTCCATAATTTTTAAGTCCAACTTAGAGTTAAGTTCTACTTAGGATCTTTGTGAAACACCCCCCAGGTTCCTAGAGGCAAAGGGTTAAGGTCGGTCCCCAGACGTAAATAATCATATCTGATTGATACACGTCTATGAAAACCGAAAACACGCTCACATACCTTCAGGACCTCCATATGTGGGGATTAACTGCAGATGTTATCTGATATTGTAAACATTTATCAAGGAAAGCTTGTTCTTTAAACAAGCTGTTTTTGTTTGTGGTGTTAATGAGTGGGATTATAGTGTACCATCCTTTGTGTGATACAATGAACCAATATGTGGTAATGAGATATCTCTATTGGTGTAACCCACCATCAAATTGCAGTGTATGAAATATGACTATCTAGTAGGCAACGTGAATGCACGTGCAAGATTTTAAAAATTGTGATCGGTATTCTGCTCATCATGTGCAGCCCTTTACTGGACCTATGTTTAAGTGAAGTAAAAAGTGATAACAAGGACTCTTGTTTAAGTCGATGATGGTCTGGTTTAAATTCCAGTTGGATACAGTTGTGAATATTTCACGCAGATTATGAATATATGCACAGGGGTTGAATGTGGATGTAACTCCTGAAATTTTGAAAAGTACTCAAAATCTGTTGCAAGATGAAATTGATTGGAAGGTTTATTCTCAAGCGAACATACATGTATCTGTAAACGAGTGTAAAGATTGCTAAATTCTTGCAGGTAGTGAAGACTGAATATGAGTGGATTGATGTATTGTTTATTGACAAGAATTGTACATTTTTCTTTCTCTTTTTGATGAGAATTGTAGAAAGGTATTAATGAACGCGACTTTTGAGTGATGCTATCTAATGGCAATGGCGAAGAAAAAAAATACATGTAATAGGTTTTAAAGTGAAGAAATACAATATATGAATCTGTTACATTTGTACAGAAAGAAACTTGGAAATAAAATGAAATGAAATTTATGCCTGGGGTGTTTTGATTTATCTATGTTCATCTCATTTTGTTGTTTACGCTACATCAGCAATATTTGGTCTCATTTCCCCCTCAATCCATCTTTAAACAGATTCTTTCTCTCTTGAAATGTTCTTCTCTTGCACATTCTATGACCAAGGTAGTCTCCCTTCCATTTTCTTTCAATATTCATTCTCTTCTTTCTTTCACCCCCTCTTATTGCCCCCTTTCACTCCTTACCCCTCTCACAACTTTTTCTTCTCTACACTTCTTTCCTCAGCCCTCATACCAGTAAATTATTATTAATGAATATAAAAATGCATGTTAAGTATGCAACTAATAATTACAATGGTGTCTAAACAGTTTATATATAATTGCGTATTTATTATATACATGTTATTATATAAATCGTACAAATTACAAATACATTATGCGATTTATTCATCAATAAATAAAACACTGGGAGAATGCTCTAGTTCTGTATGCATCTTGTTAAAAATTCAACAAATTACCCTTTATATTGGCACACAGGAGATACACTGTACATGTAAGAAAATTGAATCCCCCAAGAGCTCTTGAAATGCCCCAGGCATCATTAAATTAATTAATCAATTAAAGTAATACAAACAAATATTTTGGTTGCATAAAGGGGTGGTGAAACAACAAGCATCTGCCTAATGATAATAACAATAATTTGATTTCAGTATGTTGCAAGTTTGGGACATTTTTGTGACCCCTGCCCCCCCCCCCCCCCACCTTGCTTTTGTTAGTGCTTGGCTTGTCCACTATGGAGCATACCATTGAACATTTTGACATGGTTGTGAAAGAAGTCCACTTTTTTACCAAAGTCTCCTAGAATTTCTATTACAGAGAAACACCTTGAAATTTCAAGACAGATACACATTTAGTTTTGGAAAATAGGCAAACAAGCATCTGTTATCAGTTGGAATTTCATTCTGTCAGTGTTATAAACAACTCTATAATATATGAAATAGTTAATCACGATTACCATGTAACTAGAGGAAAATAACTCTCCATAAAATCTTGCTTCCCATACATTTTTGTTCACTAACAACGTAACAAGGGCGATTAAGGACAATTTCAATTTTAAATCTAAAAAATAACGTCCCTTTCTGTATCCTCCATCAATCTTCCGTTTTTGTTCCTTTCCTTGCTCTCCCTGCCATGATCCAGAAGTAGAGATTGGGGACCAGAGCTCTGATGTAGATCGCAGCACCGTGGGTAAAGGGCCCTAAAACTACATCACTTTGTCGCTTAGCAACCGCATCAACTACCTTGTCGGCCACATAGACTGTGGACATGCCACCGGCAGTGGTGGAATCCATTTCTGCAAGGGCAAAATGAAGAAGAAGATATTCATCAAAAAAACAATTTATGTATAGAATCATTTAAACCCTAATATTTAACAATGTGTTTTTTTACGCATCCAAACAAATTAAGAAAAGGATTCTATGATTTCTACAAAAAATATCCATGCATTATTAATTTCAAGAAAAATATAATTTATATATTGAATCATTGAATCATTTAAACCCTAATAAAGACAATGGGCTTTTAATCATCCTAACAAATGAAGAAGAGGGTTCTATAAGTTCTATAAAAATATCTCTGGATTATCACCTCCGAGCAACTTCACACCTCGCTATCCCCCGAGGAGAACTAGATGTAACCTCAGAAGAACTACCCCCAGACAACTATCATCTTGGGTAAATTGTTCCTAGGACAATACCTCCAGGACAACTATTCTCAGAAAGTAACCCTACCCCCCCCCCCCCCCCCCCCACACACACACATTTTCCCAACTACAATATCTCTCAAGACAATGTACATTTTGTTCAGAAGGTATAGAAATCTGCTCTCAAGAGAATTCAGAGGTGCCAATATGTGTTTGATAAATCATGTTAATAAAACATGGTAACTAATTTTCTTCACGTTTTCCCTATCTGTTCCTTTCATTTTGCTCCCTTCATTACAACTCATTTGATGTTGGAGTTGCTTTCCCCTTTATAAGCTACACAACATATACCTGCAACTGTAGCATTTGTATGCCTCATTTGTATACTAAAGTCAGTGGTCCATTTCATTCATGAAATTTCCCAGGTTCCAAGAAGGAACCTGGGGTCCGTTTCACAAAACTTGTTATTTATAACAACTGCTAAATTTCTATGACAAATTTGCTCTCAGCCAATCAGATGCCATGATTTCAGTAGCTTATAACAGTAGCTTGTGACTTGTTATTGATATCAAAGTTCATGAAACAGGGTCCAGGGGCCCGTTTCACAAAGCCTTTTTTCCAATGACAAATGAATAAAATCAGTGACAAATCTGCTGATAACCAATCAGAAGCAAGGATTTCAGTAGCTTATAACAGTAGCTTGTAACTTGTTATTGATATCAAGTTTTATGAAACAGGGTCCAGGATTACTCACTTGCATGTACAGATCCATCCCCATCGAGTGCACTCAAGGAGATGTTGGTCTTGATATAGCTAGGGCTGAGAACGGTGACGTGGATGTTGTGCTCTGCAACCTCCGCCCTGAGAGAGTCAAAGAAGGCCTGCATGGCATGCTTGGAAGCAGAATCTGGATGTAATTAATTATAAAATGTTGATTACAACAGTATTTAGGATAATGATGATTTAGATGATAATGATAGTTGTGGTGGGGGTGATAATAATGATGTTGATGGTGATTTGTTGATGATGGTGATGATGGTGAAGAATCTGGAAACAAAATGATATAATGTTGATAACAACAATAAGGATAAGCCTGAGATCAGCAGACACAGCTCTTATGACAGAAACTCTCAGTTGCACAACTTGAAGTGACAGAGCCTTCTAATTCTTTGGACCTAAACTGTGCAAAAGCATTCCACAATCTATCGGGCGCACCGATGATGATGATGATGAAAATGATGATAATGATGACGGTGTTAATACTGGTGACAATAACGACGATGATGATGTGATATGAGATGACACATCTGATGTCAAAATATGCTTTAGAACTCCACAATGCATACTTGAAGTTGATAATGTAAATTGTTGATTATATTGGACTTGCCCTAAAACAACCTCTCCCACTCAAAACCAACGTTTCTCTTAGTGATACCTTTGCAATAAAATTAAAGAGCAAATGGATGGAATATTTATTGCATACTCACAGGCACTCCTGAATGGAATAGCTATCCTGCCTTGGATACTGCTGACTGCAAGTATGTGTCCACTTCTTCTTGATATCATATTTGGTAAAATGGCTAGAGTGAAAGAAATCAAATACAAAAGTTATCACTGAAGGCATGGTATATTAATCACTTCCAATTCAACAACACTTGGACAATAGTAGTATGGTATATATCTATACTGATAATACCAAATTGTATTTCTCAAGGAATGATATATGGGAAAGTATTCTAAGAATTATTGTTGTCTTGTTCCCATATGGACATGGCATCCTTGGTTCTAATACATGTACTAATCATGGGAGACATAGGTAAATAACACCAACAGTAAAATCTCCTCATCAACATGGGTACCAACCAGGGTAATAAATGGTCACTGCATAATTTTGTCTTGTAAAGTTTTTTTGATCCTAACATCTCAAAGTAACACTTCTTGTTCAGCCCTGTAAGTGTGCTAATGATTTATCATTCATGTATAATCTTTTCTTCCCATGCCCAAAGGACCCAAACTTGTCCGTCCTGGGACCCGTTTCACAAAGCCTTCTTTCAATAACCAATGACAAAAATCAGTGACAACTCTGTTGATAACCAATCAGAAGCAAGGATTTCAGTAGCTTTTAACAAAAACTGTTGTTTGTCGCTCATGACAAGTTTTGAGAAACACCCCCCAGGTCCAAACCACACCAACCAGCTTACCTGATGTGAGGACAAGCGAGCCAAAATGGTTGACATTCATGATCTTCTGATGGACGGAGAGAACGGTCTCAGCGACGCTCCCTCTACCGCTCATGCCTCCGTTGTTGATAAGGATATCCACGTGACCGTGGAGCGCGAGAGCTTCTTTGGCTTTGTCCGGTAACTCGTCTAGTCTTTCTAGGTCTAAGGGTATGACATGGGGTGTGTGTGCTGGTATCCCTGGAGCCTAAATTGTGATCACAAATAGACGAACTGTGTGAACTCAGTGATGATTTCATACGTAAATTCATCCATTCATGCTCTAGATTGAAACCAATCATGTGCAAACTTCATCTGGCATCGCATTTGTCACAATATTGCTTACAGCTGGTAAAAAGATCATGATGGAAATGATTAGTATGCTATTGTTAAAAATGTGAACAATAAAAAGTAAATAACTGATTTGAAGTGCCCCTGAAAGTTATCACATAATGATGTAATTATATCATTCCCATCTGTGTATACTGTCTGTGCATGAAGTGCAACCAGTAAAATGAGACAAACAGAAGAAAACTAGATGGAATTCGACTGCGCGCAGTCGAAAATGATGCCTCCGTCATAGAGCAATTTTACAAACCAAAACAGAAGACATTTTTCGAATTCAAGTTCAATTGTAATCCATTAACAGGTTCTCAGAATATCGTGATTACAAGCAATTTCTCATATACATATATGACCCTTTGATCTTTGACCTCATGACCCTAAAATCTACTCAGTTCATTGGCTCTGCAAGATGTCCTGAGTTAAATAGTAATCCATCTGTCAGTTCTAATGAGAATGTGTTCACAAGCTATTTTTGCATACATAATGAGCCCATGACCTTTGACCTTTGATCTTATGAACCAAAAATCTACTCAGTTCATTGGCTCTGCAAGTAACATACATGACCTAATTTTGGCAGGAATCCATCAATCGGTTCTTGAGAACGCGATCACGAGCTGTTTTTGCATACATAATGTGCGCTGTAGCCTTTGACCTTTGACCTCATGACCCCAAAATCTAATCAGTTCATCTGCTCTGCAAGTAACATACATGACCTAAGTTTAGCAGCAATCCATCAATCGGTTCTTGAGATAACGCAATCACGAGCTGTTTTTGCATACATAATGTGCGCTGTAGCCTTTGACCTTTGACCTCGTGACCCCAAAATCTAATCACTTCATCGGTTCTGCAAGTAACATACATGACCTAAGTTTGGCAGCAATCCATTACTCGGTTCTTGAGATAACGCGATCACGAGCTGTTTTTGCATACATAATGAGCCCTGTGACCTTTGACCTTTAACCTCATGACCCCAAAATCTAATCAGTTCTTTGACTCTGCAAGATACATACATGACCAAAGTTTGGCAGGAATCCATCAATCGGTTCTTCAGATAACGCGATCACGAGCTGTTTTTGCATACATAATGAGCCCTGTGACCTTTGACCTTTGACATCGTAACCCCAAAATCTAATCAGTTCATCGGCTCTGCAAGATACATACATGACCAAAGTTTGGCAGGAATCCATCAATCGGTTCTTCAGATAACGCGATCACGAGAACGGGACGTACGTACGTACGTACAGACGTACGTACAGACGTACGTACAGACGTACGTACAGACGGACGGACGGACAACCCGAAAACATAATGCCTCCGGCTACTTCGTAACGGAGGCATAAAAATTGAAGTGCTGTTGTCTTCTTTTATTATCTTAAGCCATGGATCTTCAGAGAACATTTGGATTGCACGACTCACACTATGGCCAAACTACCTCATAACTCAATTTCAAATACTAGTCAAATCACCACCTTCAACCCGTGCCCCATTTCATTCAACTGTCATCAATAACATATGCTAAATTTTTATGACAAATTTACTCTCAGCTGATCAAATGCCACAGTTTCAGTAGCTTATAACAGTTACTGTGATAACAAGTTTCATGAAACAGGGCCTTGAACCAACAATTTACCTTACCCTCATCAGTATCTCAGCCCAAGAACAACCTTATAAGGAATTAACTCTCAAGAAAATACTGGAGCAAAGTATGGCCAGACAAAATGTAGGATTATGGACAAGTATGTGCCAGTAAATCTGGTAATCAGAAATAAGTTGTTTTAGGTAACCTTCTTACCAATTTCAGGGCCATCAATTCTTTCTTGACCCTCTCGAGTTCAGGAGCCCTCCTTGCACACAAAATCACCTTACAGCCAAGACAGTAGAAAGCTCTAGCACATGCTGAAGAGCAAGAGTAAGATAAAGAACGATAACGTTAAAAAACACAAGATCAAACCTATGTGGGACTTTGTCACGAATTGACTCTTGCATTACTAGTTCAAAATAAAACCTAGATCAATGGAGGCAGGTTTCATTTACCTACATTTGTTATTTTCCTGATTCAGGGACTCTTCACCTATTACTCTGCTAGTCTGCTACAAATTTTGGGTTTCCAAATTGAAAATGAGATTCTAAATCTTTATTTGCCTCTCCTCATATATGGTCTACCCTAGACCAATCCCCGCTAATACTTGTAAAACTTGGGGTACAAAGGCCATTTCCAATAACGTTGTACAGTACAATTTGTTTTAAATACAAATACTGAATCACCAATTCACTATCATTAATCAATATGTGCCCCACTAATCAAAGGTCTTATTATACAATAACATTTTTATTTGACAGAACCCCCCCCCCCCCCCCTTCCCCCTTCCCCCTTCCTCTCCTCCTATTTTGAGAAAAAATTATGTGTATCTCATTGAATAGTATTTTTATGTGTGGCGGCTATCTTAGAAAAATATGAAATATCATGGACCCCCCTCCCCCCGAAGAAAAAAAATCTTACGCTCTTCAGCTTTGAAAAATGACAAGTTTGAGTTGTACATTAGTCGTTAGGGACTTAGGGACGTCCATTCAAGGCAGTGCATCAAAAGGACGTCGATCGTAGCAATCCATGTTGTCGTTGTGCAAATCTAAAAGTCCCTATTGCTAATCAAAAGTGTCTCACCCTCTCCTACTCCGGAACTTGCCCCCGTGATGAGTACCACTTTATCTTTAAGCCCCGCCCTCCTTTGTTGTGATCTCAGCTTCTTGTAGAGCCATAGCAGCCCGAGACTACCAAAGATTGCTGCCGTGGCAACGGTCAAGGAATTCATACTAGATGCAGATGACATATTGTGAAGATTGTAGTTTTGCTGAAAAATAGAGAGCGAAAAGCCGAAGGAATAAATAAAACACTACTAAAGTCTGATGAAATAAACCAAATAAATTAACATTTTGAATAAAATAAACGTTGATTATCTGAAAAAAAATAATCTTTAATTGCTGTTAATGTCATCTGAAGAAGATTTCTATTTGCTGCTTTGACCTTTGGCTTTGTGGAACTTTTCATTTATCAATGAATAATATTTAAAGTAATAAAGACATCATCATCGATTGGTCAATAAATATTCTTGCCCCCTCTCTAACAAGATAACCAAAAGCACATCAAAAGGAATATGACAATATGTATGTATTTCTCCCGGTCAGCCAATTAAGACCGATGCTAGTATGTGAATACGTTCCCTCTCAAAAGATCTGCAGGAATGCAATTCATTTAGCATTACCAATACCAGGAGCAGTACACAAAAATATACGAGTGGGACCGATCATTAAAAAATGCACTTTAACTGACGTACACTGTAAGCTAATTCTATACAATTTAAACAAGTAATGAAGCGTAGATAAACACCACACAAGCGTCCTCAAATTAACATTATCATAAAACATATTAGGTAATACTTTCATGTTCTAACGCTCACCTGAAAATCTAAAGTGGATCTCCTCGAGCTCGCAAATGCCAAAGAAAAGACGATGTGGGCGTGGTTTAACACTGGGATACGAAATTGTTGTTTATTGCCATACACAGTGTATGCATACTAAAATAAAGGCAAAGAAAATCATGTAAATATGGGGAATTTACTCCCTCACCCTCTAATTCTCCGCTAATATTTTTTTTCTCCATTGATCTATTTTCTTCATCTGATATGCCAGTATGCACAATTAATTAATAAACACTCTCTTCTTTCTCTCCTTATCTTAAAAAAATTCTCATCTCTTCCGATCTTCTCCCTAACCCTCTTTACTCCCCTTTCTCTCTCTCTGTATGTCTCTCTCTCTCTCTCTCTCTCTGCCCCCAACCTATTGCAAGTTTTCCTCATAAATACATTTTTTTATTCCCAAATCAATACACATACACTCACATAGTCTAAAATTGGCCATAGGTATCAATTTTATTGTCTCAACTTTTTTTAAACACATTATTAATAATCAACGTTTTCTTTTCTCTTTTAATTTATTATCTACTGGCATTTACTTCTTGCAAAAAAGAAATAAATGAACATATACAACGCGAAACATATGTAAAAAGAATTTCTTTTATACAATCCATAAATTACCACAATCTATAACCTCTAGGATGCATAGATGTGATTGTAGAGATGAAGAGAAAGAGAAAATATAAGAATTAAAAATCAAAATAGATTTCTAGTGCTGATAGAAACGCAAATTCACAATTAAGACGATCACAAAAGAAAAGAAAACAACAACAACATTTTCCCCATGAAAATTATGATGTACCGATCAATGTGCATGAACTCAAAATTGAGCACAATATACAGGAAAAAAAAAGTAATAACAAAAACAATATAAACATAATTCATCCATGATGCCCTAGGGTTGTTTACATATATCTTCTTGCACAGTATCAGTTGCCGATACAATTCAATTCATTTTTTTTTTACATCTGTACATATTACTGTGAGACCTGACGAATGAGACGAAAAAATGTGGAGATTTCTTTTCTAGACTTCTAATGTACACATAAAGCACTCTCCTTTTAACATCGTCATAGCAATCGTTAAAAAAGCCCTGTCCTATTCGTAAAATATTTCCCATGATCCATAACTTGCTGCACAGTTCTATCGATTTCCTTTTCAGAGCCTTTTAAGTCACCGAGCAAAACTCTTTTATTAGCCATTTCTACCACACGTAACTTTCAAGAAATCCATTGAATACCGTTATACTTTTCTTCCTTTTCTTTTTTTAATCATTGAAACCCAAATATGAACATTAATATCAGTATTGTACAAAGATAGAGAACACATAATCATTACATATCCCCCTCAATTAATGGTTAAGAGAACAAGATTGTTATAAGAGACTGGTACAGTTCTTTAAAAATCAGCCAGTTTGTTGATATTGTCAAAGGTTTGTCCAAAATTACAACAAGCAACAAGTCAAAAAATTGATGAGACTTTAAGATGCTGGTCTAATTCTTTCTTGTTGTAATCAGCCATAGTTTGTTTATCTTGTCCAAGGTTTTACCAACATTGCAACAATAAGCAACATGACAAAAGATTGATGATACTAATATAGGAACAATATAGGAGCTAATCTATGACACTGTTTACTGGCCTACAGACACAACTATATCAATTTGAACACATAATTGGAAATAGATTTGTGAGGCAGGGGAATTTAGCGGAAAATTGGAAACAAATCGAGTGCATCAATTGACTTTAGAAAAGAAAAGAAAAAACATTTATGGGAGCAAAGTGACTCCTCCAAGACTGATGTCATTCAACTTTCCTTGAACATTCCCTATACTAGGGGTGCAATAGTCCTATCTCCATTTTCTCCATTGCCAAGCAACTTCTTAGCCCTTTGACAAAATGAATATAAATTGGGGATGATCAACACTATAATTTAAATCCACCACATGTTAAGAATTTATTTTTGTTTGTGGTTTGGATTTGCGAAAATATCTTGCTGCGAAACAGTTAAATCACCATGGACAACACTTAACGCTTGAAATTTGCGAAGTGTCTTGCCGTGAAAAAGCCATCCTCGACAATTCACCAAAGTTTTACACTATTCAGAATTTCACATAAAATATTCATAAAGCTCACATCTCGTAGTATTTCAATTTCTTGCACAATCTTATCATACATCAGGGTTATTATATAGGCGTTACACTCCAAGTGAAGAAAGTCATTCATATCAACAAAACATTGAAACAAAAAACAAAATAAGAAAGTCTGCGACATTCATAACCTGCAACCATCAAACCTGAAGGACGTTTAACGTCTTGAATATTCTCAATAATTCTTTTTTTTAAATTCCAATTTCCATTTGGATCCTTTTAGAACCACAATGCATATTATCCCTCTAATGATATATACTGAAGATCCCAATATATCAACATTCTCGTATTCAAACAAATTAAACTTTGGAGCAAGCTGTGTATTGATGTGGAAAATCAGTAGTGGAAAGGCAAGAAATTTGTCATTCTAATTATCAATTTGGGTTGGGGATTCTATATTCCACTTAATATCAAACAATAGTAATAACACATCAGTGTTGATAGTATTGTTTGATACAAACATTAAAAACAGGTCTCAGGTATGTGAAGATTTGGGTTATGGCGAACAAAGCGTTTTCAACAGTATCTCAAGAACACAAAACTGATTATGTGAAACATAAAAAATGACAACAGATATTAAAATGGAAAGTAGTTGTGCATATTCAAATTCACATCTATTCATGTTACAGACACATTATTCCAATTGACCCCCCCCCCCCCCCACCCTTAAAAAACAAAAACAAATAAATGAATTTCTCAGCTACCTTACTGTAAAATCATTCAAAAAGTGGAACATACATTTAACAACTAAATTAATCATAGAATTAACAAGTTTTATAGTTTTACAAAGTATGTGAAAAAATTGATTCATCCTGATTAATGTTTCTTGAGAATGTGACATATCAAAGCTTACATCTACAGGTATTCAACAAAGGCTAAAGTCCACCTATCATTTTCAAGTTACCAGAAAACAGGATAAAACATCAAATTTACAAGGGGTATGACTAATTTAATTGTGTTAACACATTTTTGGCTTACACCCAGTAAATACAGACGACTACCGGTAATTTAGTTGTTAACTGTACATGTGAATTGTTTCATTATTCTCTTTCTTAGAAATTAACCAAAAGATGAACATGGCCTTACTGTCATTTTGTGGATTATACGACTTGAACAGTCATTACCATCATCAATTGTAACATTGCATTACTGTTTCTCCATTTTCTAAAAGAAATTTTTACCAAACAAATTTGAAGCAAGTCACTGGTAGCTGGCAAATATGAAAATATTTGTTTGACAATGAATTTGGACTGAGTGACAGGAAATTAATCCACCCTTGAGAAAAACAAACAGAAATAAGCAACAACATAATATGTACAAATTGTATGTTTGGTGCCAGAGGGGGATATTAACCTCTATTCTGTATTGAAGACAGGGTCGATGTCCTGGTTATGAACAGATGCAACAGGTTATGTGTTCAGCAATGTACATAGAGATAAATGAGAGGTGCGTTACCATGTACATGTATACTGGGATCCCACAAATACGACCAAGATAATATTTAGATGGATGATTTACCCCGACTATCAGCTTTGTTCTTAGCAAATCAATTTGAAGCCCTTTCGTTAGTGATCGTCTGTTCCGGTACAGCTTTGGATTTATTTTTTCGCTTCTTCATCATCCATAATTTCATCATCATTATTTCTTAACATTGCCATCATAACTATAACTTTCACCATGGATGTAACGAGTCAAAAAGACTTTCATAAATTAAGACCAGGGATCCCGTTTCACAAAACTAGTCATCAGTGACAAATGACAGTTTTGTTATAAGCTTCTGATTGGTTATCAGCAGATTTGTCAGTGATATTGTCATTTGTCATTGAAAAAAGGCTTTGAGAAATGGTTCCAGAACCCACCATTTGATAAAGTAAAACAATTTACCTCTAGCAATTCTTTTTTCTTCGTTTCTTACGCATACAATACCACTAAAATGATGTTTCTTCACTAAAATGTGTCGAATCAGCTCACTTTAAATCTGCTACATTTAAGCATGATCACATTCTGATCATTCTCTTATATATATATACTCCTTTCCCTGATTTTATGCTCGTTTGTTTTCTTTTCTTTGTATTCAATGAATAATATAAACAATTAATGCAATGAAATAATATAAATAGTGCAACATTCATGTAATTGATAACTGACTTTTCTATTTAAGTCTGCTGTACATTGTAGGTTTATAGGGAAAACACTTCTTTATCTTTTTCACTTACAAAAATTAATGCTACTAACGTTATATGTTATTACGTTTGTTAAAATTCATAACTTGAGTATTTTGTTGATATGAAGAAGGAAAAAAAAAACAGAAATAAGATGATTTTCTGATTTATAAAACTTTGATTGAGCAAAGCATCATTTCCGTGACAACCATTCTACCTCTCCCGGAAAAAAAAGAAAGAAAATAAATACAAAGGAAACATCAAAAAGAAGAAAGATAAAATTTGAATTTTGAAAATACTGTGTACTTTTGGACTGTCAGAGTCGACATGACATACAGATAAAATCATCGCTGAATAATTACAAGCTGGAGGGATGTCATGAGATCAATGCTAATACATTATATATTAGTACATGAACATTATACAAGATGCTGCCAGTTTGGGTGAATGCACTATAACGATACTGTAGTGGAAATCAACTTTGTTTCTTTTCCTAGAAATGACTTTAATTGATTGCTTCTGAAAAGATCCCCTTCAAGCAGCATTTCAATTTGACAGAACAGTGTGGTTTAAAGCCCCACTGCACTACATGACCATGCAGGGAGGTCTAATCCCTCCTGGCCAATCTAGTGCGGTGGGGCTTTAAGTGGCAATGGATGCTGGGAATTTCAAAGGTGTGCAATTTATTATTTGATAAACTTACGTCAAAGGGACATGTCCACGCAAGTGTACAGAATATAAACAACTTTAATAATGACCT